GGTGGTATCGACAACTCCTGCGTCGGCTTGGTTGCTTCTAACTCACATCGGTATGGGATGGTATTGAATATTATCTATCCGATTCTGTGGGCACATACCCGTGTGCTCATGAAAAGTGTAAATGATGAAGCTGTAGGTATCTGGAGTTGTGCGTCAAGGAATAAATCAGGACTGTTAGAATGAAGCAAAAGGTTATTGTATTCGAAGTTGTGTATGGAATAGTGAAATGATTGAATTTGAGATGTGTATAAAGTATTGAAGTTATTGCGTTACAATCTGAGAATGAATTATTTGAGTTTTTTTAGTAAGACTTGTGCATAAGGCAGAGCGAAGAAATGGTCTCGGAACTGTGTCTAAACTCAACAAACTCTTGTGAACAAATATTCCCGAGCCGGAGGCATCGAACTCTAACGGTCTCTAAGCAATGCAATGCCTTCTGCAATCCCGGCCTTCTGCGAGTCCTTCTGAAGCTCTTCCGAGCTGGACCTACGGAGGTATCAAGAGAGAGGTTTCCCCGCGAATGAATTTCCTCTGCTCAATTCTTGTCGTACTGTGGCGCACGATAAAACTCGGACTTGTCCGGAAATTGAAGGCGCGAAGCCACATAATCCGGTTGAGTAATGCTGTTCGAGGCTCCGCCCTCAATTGGGGAACCCGAGTCTCCTCCCTCGCTTGGGGAACCGGAGTCTCTACCCGGATATCGGAGAAGAATCCATATGGTTCATGCTCCCGATTCCTCGCCCCACGGGAAATTCAACGTTTCAAGCTCTTCGACATGGAGAACCAGGCGGTCGAATCATCGTCGAGAAAACGTCCGCCGATCAGGGGCCCCTCGCGAACCTACAGGAGAAGTAACGACTGCTCTCCGGACGGCGTAGCATGTAGGCGTGTCTCAAGTATCCTGTCCCGAATGTCTGATGGGACATTTCATCGTGAGTCTGCCGTGATGCTCGCGCCAGAGGTGACACCAGACTTGTGGTTAGCTCTGGAACAACGCGAGAGGAAGAACCGTACTCGGTGAGCAGAGACTTTGAGGTTGCTTTGTGGGGAGAGGAAGCGTTTTGTTATGTGAGTTCGATCGACGGAGCATTAATTGTGATTGGCGCTGAAGGCTCAGATCACTTGCTAGCAATTGCTTCCCGATTGGCTCTCCTCTGTTGGCTCCTCTGCAGACAGGGTTCGTCGACTGTCCAATGGGAATCTTGAAGTGATACTCTCTTCTCACTGGAACGATTCCCTACCTGAGTTAGGCGCTGCCTTTCGGAAGAACCCGTCGCATGATATGCGCAAATGAGTCATGGAAGAGGGTCCTCCGGAGTAATGATCGGGAGGACTAGGATCCTTTGCCTTCTGCCTTTCTCCAGGCGTGATTCAGCGAGAACCGTCAGGAGAACTTCCGGAGAATTGACTCTCAGGCCGGAAAGAAAATTCTGAAACGAAGGCTCCCCTCTCGGATATCGACAGAGTTTCCACATTACTTGAGCTCGTTTCACGGGTGCCGCAACAGATTCCATTCCATCGAAATGAATGAATCCTCCGTGCCGTTTTTGGCGTCACTCGGTAACTTCAGAGCGTTCGAAGGGATTCTCCGAGACATTGCTCTCTGAGACGCGCAGACAGCTCTCAAGGTTCCGCGGCTCCCATTGCAAGGAAGCGACATCAAGATCGCGAGAACGCCGTAGCTGATCCCTGAGCCTATATATACAAGATTTCTGAAGCAGGGATCCTGAGGAAGCTATGGATGAGAAGAAAAGTGGACTCGGACACAAGGCCTTATGAGTGGGATGGCAACCTCCACCTGCCGTTCGCTTGAGAAATCACGCAATCTTCTACTGCTGGATAATCACAGAACAGGCTTATGCTTCCGGTGGTCCGTATGACTTGTGATCATTTACCTACATAATTTATATTCCTTCTCGTCAGGGACGATTTCTCAACGAATCACTCCGGTTTCGTCCTCCCATGGTTGTAGCCGCGGCTGCGTTCGTTTAAAGTCTGTCAACAGCCCAGGTCTTGAAGGAGTCCTGCTTCTTCTGGTCGCCAACATCGGGAGGATTGCCCGTTGCCACCGATCCGGTCTCAAAGCACTCATCACGATGAAGTACCTGATTTTGCTTTGGGCCGCTCTCGCTCCGAACGTCTACCATCCTGGTTCGCCCATGATGGATCCGTCGGCGATTTTGCGAACCGAACACCCACCAGCCCGCGGCCATTCGAATTCTCCCAAGCTGTCTCGTGAGCTTCCTGATGACATGATTTACTGATGAGGTGTGTGTACATGGCTCCCTCCGTTCGAGGGAAGACTTGGGTTCTCTGATCACAATGCTTGCGATGCGACGTTGAGCGTGGCGCGTCCTGAGTTCCGAGATGTGGCGACTTGGGGTTTACACCGAATCACAGCGTCGGCTATAGATGCGTCTTCCGAAGCTGTCAACAGTCGAAAGATATTTCGGAGCTCTCATCCGCAGGATTGTGTCGACTCTGCTGAGTGAGACTTGATCGCCGAAGTCTCTGCGTACGCTCGTAGCACCGATCGACAGCTGATCGAGTCAAGGTGCGCGAGCTGGTATACCTGTACGTGATCCAATCGCGGAAGCGAAGACTAGGAGCTCATATCTCACGTTCCGACTCGCCGTCGGCTTCACCAGACTTGGGCTCCTCCTTCACCGAGAGCCTCGGCGAAAGCGCCAGAAACTCGCTCCGATTCCCAAGAAAGATTTACGAGCGTGCATTCGGACTTGTCGCCTGTGTCCTACCCATAACATGGCTCGTGAGCTGCGATGATTTATCGGTGTGCAACTCAATCAAGACGAAGGCGGGGCTTCTCGAAGGGTACTGGGCTTTTCCCGTGGAAACAGGGCCGTAGAGATATCAACATCATATTCGTCACGCTTTCCCGGTGGTAGGGATTTCCGTAGATTGAATTTGAGGAGATCTTCTGGAGGCCTCCGCGGGCGGCTTGGTCGTGGTGAACTCAGGTAAAGCGTCCAGTCACGAATCACCCTCGGGATCTATGCATCTTCACTATCGTTTCTGTTCTAAAACAGTCCAGGAGGGCGATGGTCAATATCACCCATATCGAGCTCATCAATCATTATTGGATCCTCGAGTATCCCTAACCGGGGCGAGGAATAATCCCGGGATATTCTTGTCCTCGGTCGTTCACTTGCTGTCTGAACAGGCTCCTTTCGGAAGGCGATCCGAGCAAGACGACGGTAGATCGCCGAGAGTTCGCGGTTTATGGTGGAAAGGCAGAGATATATAACATCCGTAGAGAAGAGCCTTGGAGAATGCCGCTTTTCAGCCCTGATTCCTTTCCCAGGTTACGATATAATTGCTGTGGATATCCAAACGTAGTTTGTTGCGGAGACTTCGAATCTCGTTGCCCCGACGGCACTGTCTGCCACGTCGAAAACAATACCTGCGTTGATACGAACGGTACGATCCTCCCCGCACTATAAATCGGCTGGGTGCGAGAGACTCGACGGAGCCCACGCATTAGATATCCGACACTGTCCGAGCAATTAGATCAGGAGCTGATAATAAATCATTGATATTAGAATGCGAACTTCATTGATGAATCATCGGCAGTGGAGGTTTCGAATACATTTCGAATCATAGTGCATTCCTCTGACTCGCGGTATTTGTTGAGCTACGGGAGGTATCACTACGATTGATGTCTATCTCGGTTCGAGGTGAAGATACCTATCATAGGACCAAACGTGCTCATCGCATTAATCCGAGTCCATTTCTTCGAGTGTACCCGAGTGAGGAAGCCACGGCACGTCTTCAGATGCACTGTCTCTGCAGGAGGATGTCGACGCTTCCGATTCGAGTGCTCCTCCTAGACCCACGCAGCTTCTGTCAGACCTCTGATGGATTCTACCGAAACCGTATGAATCATATGCATATAGTAAGAAGGTGTGGATAGGAACAGACTGAAGCTGAGCTTCTTTATTCCTCCTTCATAGATAGCTTACTCCCTACACATGTCATGTATCACCACTGTTCGTCACCGGCTCGCTGGCGGGGGAGCCTTGAGGATGCTCTGCAAGAATCGAGAGGGGTTAGTCGTTAATATAATTTCACGGGGAATAGAGACGGGATCGCTCTTGTAACGAGAAGGATCCGAAGACTCGACAGCTCGGATCACGCAGACGTCTCATCATTCGGTAATCAAGTAATCAAGACTGTAGGGGAAATCCTTTTCGTGGCGGAATAATCCGAGACATTTGTTACCTGGTACAATATCGAATGTTCGCCGGGAAATCTGCTGCTCCCAGAATACGGCCGCTTTTCTTCTGGAAACGGGAATATTCGTATCATAATACTCTGACCTCGATGTCAGGAGCTTTGTGCACCGATTAGCCCTGCGAAAAAGCTCACAGAGGAGTTTCCGGCCGCACCCCATGAAATGCTGGGGAGGGATCGCTCCCTTGGCGCACTTGATCCCCGTCGCAGTCGATTCGATTTTTGAAACGTACCATAACAGAAAATGGCGTTCGAATTACGACAGTGCGAATCAGGACCTTCGATGATCTTACCGAGCGAGAAACAGTGGTTGTTCCGATCATTCAGCTGAAGGGAGATTGCATGGACCCACTCATTCGCGAGATCCGACGGAAATCTCAAAAAACGGAAATCAATCAAGGAATCTCAATAAGATGCCCCCCCCCCACAGAAGATCGAACAATACTATCTGATTACGGAGCATCTCGCAGAGGGTGGTTTTTTCGGCTTCTCCACTAGTTTAGACATCTCTCGGCCATTCCGCACGCATCTTCTTGCCAATCGAGCCCGGCAATCCGACTGGCCCATTGTGAGCTAGTCATTTTTCCTCTCAATTACAGTCTTTTCCGTCGCTCACCTTGATTGCGGAAACAATAGCTCTCGCATATTGTGTAATTGAGCGTACGCCCATTGAGGAATTTTCTGTGATCGAGTTATAGCTCGAATAGTTGGATAGTGTGAGCACCTATCGATCCGTGATTGGTTCGGTGGTCAAGCTGGCACGCTCTTGCGCGCTGGGTAACGGTGCTCATTTGACGCAACAGACGCGTTGGACGTTCGAATCAATGAGCGTATGTTTCATTTTAGAATCTTCCGTGCCAACACCGGCACCGCCGCTCCAAAGTCAGCACCGAGCTCAATGCTTTCCGACGCGAGGGGCAGCCGCATGATTTTCTCTACGGGGCCCAGAATAATCGGCGGCAAGCAATTACCTACCATAGATGGATCGATTGTGTTCGGCAGGAGGCGTTTGAGGCATGGGAACGAGACATTACTATCAAGGGACTTACGTCGTAACTCGGCATCTCCAAAATCGATTGCTCGCCGTTTTCTGCGGTGTTTGAATTTTTTGTCTTCTGAGAAATCCAAGTCGCCTTCGACGCTCTTCTCGTACCGTCGCACTTCACGAAGCGGTGGCCTGGAAGGGAATCTCATCCTTGAAGCTTATCCGCGAGACGTCTTCGAGCCTGAGCTTCGCAACCGAGGCAGGTTTCTGAGCTCACCCGAGAGGCGCTTGTAGTTGACGAAGGCGCTCCTCGCGCAACTGTTCTTCGAGCCGGATCTCGCGGCTCGCATCTAGGGAATCGTCATCGAAGAAGACCCTCGGTGAAGTATATCTGCCCTCCTCGATTTGGAGAGCCGCTATATCGTGTCCCGGGCCCAACTGGAACGAAGTCTGTATTTCATTTTAGCATTCTGCTCTCCTTCGAGCTCCTCTCGTCTTGAATCCTATGGTCCCCTGTGCAGTAGCCCCGAAGGGACGAGCTACAAATTTGTGTCTGGATTCTCGGCAAACCAAAAAAAATTATTCCTCGTCGCAGTCGATATTTCCAAGAAAGCTAGGGAGCACATCTGCTCGAATGTTCGTGCGAACAACGCTGTGAATATGATCGTTACGAATTGAAACCTCGAACGGAGTGAGACACACTCGAGAAAAACTCTCCAATGAGCCGTGCTAGCGGTCTCTTTGAACGCGATTCGCTACGGTTCGTTTTTTTCTTCTGAATGCTAAGGACCTTGCTCTATTTATGCTATCCGAAGCAACCAGAATGTTCCCCGCGACACAGAATAATTCCACGCGCCCGTTCACGATAAACATTTTGGGCAGAGAAAAAATCCGGGCAATTACTTGATGGACGGAGGTTCTCGAGAGGCTCTACCCGCATCCGATCCCTCATCAAAGACAGCTAACACCAGAGAGTGGAAAGGCTGGCCTTGACAAGAAATTGCTCCTGAATCCTCAACGACGCGCGAAATCTCTAGAGCTGGCCGGACCACTGTTTCACTGACTGAGCGAGGATTCTCAAGAACGAGGGTCGCAACGAGGTCCGGGGAGGCTCCAATAGGTGAAGGCGTCTGATAGGCTTCGTCAAACTCGAATGAATCGCGTGTACAGAATGAAGTATTATACTCACGTCGTGCTCGCCATAAACGCTCGGACTGTGGTGGTACACGTAGTGCGGTTGAGCCACGAAGTGACTTGCGGGCGTCGTGGTAGCGTAGTGGGGATGCAAGACCTGCAGCTGTAGCAAACCCAGGGGTACCAACAGCGACATGACTCGAACAGATCCTCTGTCGAAAATGTACGGTATTACCGATGACATGTACTGGTAATCGCTTTTGGAAGAATGGAACAAAGGATGATGGACGGGTGTTGTTTCTGGCGAATCGGGGAAAACCTCAGAAAGAAGAAGTTGCCAAAGGGAGTTTTCTGTGACCATTGGATGGCAAGAAGTGTGTGAGCTCAGCGAACATCAAATTTCTCTTTCACGTGAATCTTCTTGGAGTGATGTGTTGTGCCGGTCGGAGCGACGGGGAAAAAGCAGAAGGGCCGAAGCCGCGACAAGGGCTTCGCTCGTCTCTTCGGCCAATTACCCTCTTGGAACTCATCTCTTCAAGGGAAGGGACTGAATCGTCAGGCTGAGCTCTCGGAGGTTCCCCGAGCCTCTCTGACCGGTCCCTCAACGTGCTGACTATTCATCCGTCCATGAATTACCAACAGGTCGATGGAAAATCGACGCTTCCATATTTGGAGATGGGAATTACCGGAAATACTCACGGCTAGCTCACTCTGAATGACTCCCGGACGCTCAAAGCAGCTCAATGAAGTTCACGCTCCCACTCGGTGTAACTCCCTTGCTCCCGAAGGGTCAGACATGGAAATTCTGAGCGTTCTTCCAACTGCGTCACCAGCTTCGATTTCAGTCCGAAATAGAACCGCCAATGTCCGTGTCCTCCTTAGGAAACAGATACTCCTCTAACTCTCCTCGTCCGTAGAGGGGACGTCACCGAAGTGCGTTGTATACAAGCGACAAAGTGATTCAACCATTTGCCCCGTCCTTTCCACTCGGATACCGGCGAGGGTATGTCGAGCAGCGCACGATAGCGGATAATTTCACAGACTTATTTTCATCTTCGCGGCGTCGCTTTTCCGTGCGAAGGACCGAAGCCCTATGTTTGCCACTCTACGAGTCAACAACCCACGGTCCGCTGAGATCCGCATCCGAGAGTTCCTGCTCCGGAAACATCTTCCGACGGACACGCAGGCGTTTTTCGTCGAGTTGCCGGCGACGGAAGACGTTGTTGAATAGCGCTGAGGTTTCCCCTAAGCGAGCCGGCCGTCCCCAGAAAATACAACGAGCAGCACCTCAGCGCTCGCGTCGGCAAGTCCTCGTATATAATCACGCGGTGTCATCAAGAAGAAATCGTCTCCAGAACCGAGCGCAATTCTCGACTCGTTCACAGATCCAACTCCGAAGAGGAGAACAAATCGCGACCGATTCTGAACTCCTTCCCCGCTCGGTGCGCTCTTCGTCGTCGGAGCGGAATATTCGCGATGGACGAACTTCGGTAGGAACAATGTGAGCGCTCGTTTGACGGGTACCTTCCAGATGGTGCTGCTCCAGAATTCTGATTGCATGCGCCATGTTTATTTGTCCGACCTCCAAATGAGACGCGACACGATCTGCTTATCAAGTAGCTGTCGATCGTTGAAGCTCGATTCCGGTACGAAATACAAAAGATAGGTGCAATAAGCTGGAGCTATGAGCCGTGTTGCACTACACGCTCAGACTCTCTCGCGGTGATCCCTCGTCCAACACGGAACCTTGACATGCAGGAAGACGGAATCGGAATTTTCTTTCTCTGCCAGACCGGAGTTTCCTGGTCTGACCACATGATCGACAATCAGAGACTGCTTCGTAGACGCGACTGAAGTATGTGTCAAGAATGATTCGGGGTGGCCCTTCTGCCCATTGCTGACACGAAATGGAACGAGATTGATGAAAGAGGACCGGAGCTCGCTTTGAACTAGATGCTAAGTTTCGGGCGGAGCTCCCGGCGCGACCAGATCTGGTCCCGCCGCGGCGGGACAAGATCTGGTCCCAGGTGCTCCCAATGAGCAACTCAAGTACAAGAATTGTTCCCGAAGAGGAGTCAATCAGGGCAAGCTTCGAGAGCGGATCCTCTCGGAGGCCTCGGATCAGCGAGGGAACCTCCCTAAGGCCGAGTGGTCGAACTTCAGGAGAGTGACCTATCTCTCGGACGGAACGCAGGGTACCGATACCCATTGGGACCCTCACCAATGTGTCCCAGATAAAATTATTGAGCAGATCAAGGCTGCCCAAGAATCGGGCCCTATTATCTTCTTAGAGCACGGCGAATCTCTCGTACCAGGAACGAAGGAGTATCAGGAACAGAGGTTCTTTCTGGAACCGTAGACCAGGAGGCACGGGCGACGTAGCGAATGTGCGAGTGGGTTCTGACTTGCCTAGGCGCCGGTTGTCTAAAGGAATTGAATCGGTCGGTCGAGATCCAGGCACTGGGCTGACCGGGTCAAGTGCAGGCGAAATCACGACTCTCTTCAGACCGGAATCAAGGACGCCACTCGTGTCCCCTCTATCATTCAGAGACTTCGGACATAGACGGTCCGAATCTAAAGAACTCAAGCGAACGGCGACGCCGGCGCCATGAAAGGTCACCGGTCGAGCGTCTCAAACGTATCGTAAGAGGGAAATCCGACAACTGAATTCCTTGCTCGAAGGAAGCAGTCTCCGAAGTTGGCCGTCGTCCACGCAGCTCCATCATCCGTCAGTGCGGTGGCTCTTCCCCGAAGCATCAAGCAGAACTTGGTCCGCTTTTCCTCCGCGTCGACTCATCCCACCGTTGACCAGCGCGCTGACAGCAGCGTCAGCAGGCGTGAAGCAGCCGGTCGAGACTCGTCGGAAAGCGAAAGGCGATGCTGTCAGCTCAGTCTAGACTTACTCTCCCGCAACCATTGGTGTCCTGATGACGCTAACTAATGGTTCAGGCACTTTCTAATTCGTGAGCTTTCTGAGGTCAACGTCGATGCCAATGCCCATCCGAAATGTGGAGATTCTCCGCTCCAAGTCCCGATCGACGCGCTGGCTTCGCTATCCGAGGCCTTCCTGGCATTCCACTGATCCATCAGGTTTGAAGGACTCCCAGGTCGAGGATTGTCGCCCGCGAGCTCCTCGACGACTCTGGTTCATTTCGCGTCCTAGGCGAAATGAACCCAACCTCGCCCATACCTTAAGGTGGAGCACATTCACCAATTGACAATCAGGATTGACCCTGGTCCATGCACTTGAGGATGGCGCTTCTCACCCACAAGATGACTGGTGGCCCCTAGAAATTCCTCGTACGAGCTCTCAATATATGACTACCTATGTGTGAATGTACACAGAGTGATTTCTCAGTAATTTCTGATCGGTTCATAAGAATCAATTCAATCCCCCAGAGGATGTCGGACAACGAGGTGATGATGCGGACATGTCATGGCGATGTCAAGGACGCTTGGAAGGAACAACCGGTCCCCGAGGATCTGCGTGGAGAGGCGCAACGAACATTCAGTGAAATGCAAAAAATCCGAGAATCGAGTCAGACCTGTCGAGAACCAACAAGAAGTCTTCTCTCGAGTTTGGAGGTCGGCTCCTCTCTCACTAACTTGAAATGCGACAGTGAAACGGCCGCAGATAACGCGATCCATGCTCAAGAAGTCTCACTAAGCATCATTCCCAGGAGGAGAACTCGTTCATCGAAGAAAGGCTGCGAAGCTTGAGTGCTTCCATGGACAAGGTTTTCAGGATCGGCAAAAACATTAGATCGAAACTCGCTGACGAGCGAGCTTTCTTCGAGACCCTCGCCGACTTCCCCGATCTACCGCAACAAGCTAAAGATCTCGTTTGCAGATCGTATTTCGAGCAAACCGTAATAATAATTTTAGACTTCGCCTTCATTGCGATGATCGTATCAGCGATCATTCTTCATCTGGCTCTATGAAATTCCTCTCACCAGGTGCTCGATTTCCAAAGCCGCCTACGCGACTACAGAGAGCATCTGGAGAACATCCATTCGATCTACTCGCAAACTTCCCGGAAACCTAAGAATGTGGGTGGAGTCATAGAAATTCTTGAGAAACATCAAGAATCTTTGAAAGCGGCTGCCGCAAGAGTCTACGTTCTTCATGAGAAGGTTTATTCCCTTATATTCCTCCTAGACATTAGCTGACGCCGGATAAGGCCGGCCATGTCTTCATTGTAATTTATGGCCGAGAATTCCGAGTTTCGTTAAGCTTCGATCTAGGAGATCAGAGTCAATTTGCGGATAGCAGAGCCGCCAGTCTCCAGATGGATGATGATAATCACTCGTTATGGCTTATAGGTGCTAGAGCTCGTCCAGGATACCAATCCGATGACACAATCGGCCCGGGACCCGCGGATACGACGTTGCGAAGGCACCGCAGAACCTCCGGACTTCCCTGACCTTGAGCGGTGTTCTCTGGACGACCTTCCCCCTCTCGAGACTGTTGAAAATGGACTCGACGCAGCACGTAGAAGACCGAGCGTTCAATGCTCGGACAGGACGAGACCGTTACCGGGACTCAGCTTGTTCCGGATATAACGAACTCATATCTGAAATTTGAATGTCCGGCAAGGCTTGAGCCCCGTAGGTTTTCTTTTTCTGGTGTAAGGAAGGTGGCGAATAAATTGGGCTCACATGAATCGTCCGTAAATTGTCGAGAATCAATGACTGCCCGAGGTTTTTGGGCACGCTCATCACTCCACTCAGAAGAGATGTACCATTCGAAGACTCCCGCAGAAATCTCCGCCCTCCTCCGCGGTTCTCCTTGAGGCCCTCCCCCACCTGGCGCCCTTGTCTCCCGCGTCCCTGTGAACTCTAGAGGAAAATCCATTCCCCCCAGATGACATTCACCTGACCCACAGTAATGAAGACCGTCTTCTTCGGGTTTCCAACCATGATGGGTAAATCATCTCGTGGTACTTTATACACACATCCGCTCATAATGATTACAGGTCCAAACAGATACATATTTTTTTCTCTCTATATAACGATCTCGTAACCCCTCACAGAATGATCACGCGCACAAAGGTCGTGCGAGAGCTTATCTAGTATCAAAACACATCAAATATTCCTCGTTCAGACTCCAGGCTCCCTATTCTTTCTAGTGCATATTTTCATGCCCAACACGACTCCTTCACTATGGTTCACCTCCCCAGACGGTATACGGCCGTCCTATGTACAGAATCATCATCGTGGATCGACAAAAGTGGAGGAACGGAGACAAGGACAACTGGGATCACGACAAATGATAGATTCTCGACGTGAGGTTATGCTCGCCACTGGCCTCGTAGGTAGATGACAACTCACTTTCATGGAAGAAAACTCCGTCTAGGAGAAGGTCATGAGGTCGGCGCTCCTGCGGGGCGGCGATCGCTCTTCGCCGCAGGAATCTGCAGAATCTGAAGAGATCCCCCAGGGTGCTCATAAAGTACTCCATGCCTCTCCCGGACGAACTCATCCCAGACATTTTACAACTTGAAGACTCCCACCTCGATGAGCTGCATACGGGTCGACGGATCTCGAACCGGCAGCTTGAGGTCGGTACTCGAAGACCGAGTCTCGAATATTCATAGAAATGAATACCTACTATATATAATGTGTTTATAGTCAAATCGTCACAGATGATAGCTTCAGTAATGCCCTTCGTTCCTAACGACGCACCGCACTGCCATTGTTATGCTCGTTGCCGAACAAGATTCAAAGAAAATTCTTGAGCAACGATGAAAGACGAAATCGAGGAGCGATCGGCGTTGATCGGAGGGTAAATCTGTGACACGATTCCATACTGCGAGTAGCTTATAGTACCCCCTCTACCGATCATAGCTCGAATTCTTCTCGTATCTCCCTTTCGAATTGAACCTCCAGTGATGCTTGCCGTTCTGGTGATAATTGCCGTTGTGATCGTTGTTCACGCTGTGGCTATTGCCCCACTTATGAAAACGATTCTTGAATTTCGACGGATGCTTCGAATCTTTGAATGATTTCTTATGCATGATGGAACCACCACCGTGAGCCTTATATCGCATATCCTGTTCGCGCTGGAATGGGTTCTCAGCCCTGCGGTCACCGCCCTTCCACGGATGTCTGTGCTTCATCTGGAAGGGGAAAAAAAACAGTGAGAGGATCGTCGGCAGATTCGAAAACAGAGCTGGCTATCGACAGTTCGCGAACTCGGATGTACATCTTTCAATTTGATCAAACAAAGGCCTGATTCTAGCTGCGGCTCGTCTGGGCTCGAAAAAAATACTTCGTCTTCTATTTTCCTTCCGCCCCGACAGAAATGCTTCGCGCACCTTTTTCTGGCGACCTCGGTCGAGATCCTCGTCGTATTCGTCTCTCTCCGTCCTGGATTTTGAAGAATCGATTGAAGCTCCCCAATAAGTGAAACCATTTGATGCACCGTTTTGAGGGACATCGCTGTGCTGTGTCTCGCCACCGGAGTAGTTTCCGTTGGTGGAAACATCGGAATTTCTGCTTCTATCCAACGGGTATGCCCTCTGTTGTGCGGCTACTGATGCCTTCTCAGTGAAGGATCGGGATTCGGACGTTCCATTCGTATAAGTTCTTTCCTGGGAAATTTTGCTCGATGAGCTTGTGCTGTGTTTATGTTGATTCCGAGCCGATTCGGAACCGTGCGACGAAGAGCGTGCGGCAGCCGTGGCCGGCCCCGGGGATGCGAGCCCCTTAGAACGTTGTTCCTCTTTTCTGCGAAGTTCTTCCTTCTGGAGGGCTGGGGGCATCTTCGGACAATATGACACAGTGGAAACTTTTGGGGAACGCTGAGTTTTCGCTGTGCCCTTACTGCTGCCGGCTTGCGCTGTCGGTGCTGGAGACGAAGCTCCGTGCGGACTTGTCGCTCGAGAGGGGTCGGTTGACGAGACTGTCCAACCCGGGCTCGTGCCGTGAACATTGCTGTTCTGGGACGAGTTCGAAGTGACGGATGGGGCGTCGTTGAGTTTGTCCACGACCCAGGTCAACGAGCTCGAGAAGCGTGACCCATTATTCATGGGCCCATTTTGAGGCGGAACAGTTCCTGAAAGATCGAAAGGCGGCCATTTTAGAGAAATCCTCCCCGGTTCGCGATATTCGCAGATTACTCGGGTGGGGCTACTCGCCGAATCATCTTTGCGGATTATACTCACTGTTCGACACGATTTCTTCGGCTTCATCTTCGTCGTCGTCACTGCTCTCGTAGGGAACCAAACTCTTCTGGAATTCGCTCTGATCAGGCGGCAAGTTTTTCAGCATGATCAGCTTCGACCCCAGGTTGGTGAAAATCGATTTCTTCCCATTCTTCTCCCGGTGTTTCTTATGGGAATTTCCGTTCCCATCCAAAAGAAGACTGAACGACTTCGAACGAACTGTTGTTGCTTTGTGCGGCTCGTTACTAACAATATCGGCATCCCCGACGTCCGTGCTTCTCTTAGTCGTATCCGATGTACCAGTTGCCGGAGTAGGCAGAGCTGGGGTCGACGTTGGGCTCGTCGCCGGAACAGGTGACGTGGCTGCTTTTGTCGGCAGCGTAGCTAATTGCTGCTTCCCATTTGAGAGTTCATCCTTCGCATCGGTAGCGGCACTGCTGCTGTAACCGCTGCACCCGGGCTCGTTGCCGCCGGTGGGCTCCAACCTTGGCAGTTCGAGGTCCAACTTTCGCGGCGTTCCTTTCGGGGTGCCGTTCGTCTGGTACTTCGAGATTGTAGAAGGAGGCGAGATGGTCGACAATGCTTCGGTGGATGTCTGAAAGGCAAGATGTCGGTTGCTTTAGCCGATGGAGGACTCTCACAAGGAACTCTCAAAGCTCTGCTCAAGATTTCCTCCGCAGGACACGGAACACTCAAAATACCTTTCGCATTTTGTTCTGCGGAGCACTCGCCGAAATAATCGGACTCGGGTTCGCGACCTTCGTGGGGAGTCTTATCGTTCGTATCGCTTGATTTTGTGAGGTATAGAACAGCAGATAAGCGTGCTTCTGGAGTACCTCCTTCAGGTCTATGGGTCGAACCAACGTGTCATTCAGGTAGAACCATCCCTCGGTTTTTCGCAAATTGCAATAGTTTTTGCAATACGCGACGTAATGCCCATCCGTCACCGATTTGCCCCAATGTTCGACCACACCGGTGAGCTTGTAAAGCGAGTTTTGGTTTTTCGTCAACGGATCCATACAGGGACGAAGATCTAGCGTCTCAGGGAATTGCACAAATTGGTTGATCTTATGCGAGATGCCGTCCATCACGTAGAATCGTTTCAGCATGACCACGAGAACCATTGGGAGATCTCTCAGGACGCGCTTCATCGTCGGCCGAGGCGTCTGAAGTGCATGAGGAAAATGTTAGACGCCCGCGTTCCATTCCGTGTCAGGACCAGGATCAGAGGGATGGAGAATCGACATCTGGAGATCCTTCGACTCACCCGAGCTCGCCCGCATCCATTGCACGTGTCCTTCGGCTCAGTTAACGTTTCCGCTAGTCCATACTCGACTCTGAGACGGTCTTGAACCGAGCGGCGGTCCCCATTTATCAAACCGAGAATTATCGTGGGCTCGATCATTTTGACGACAGACGCTTTCCCACACAAAGAACAAGCATACTGCTGCTCGACGACTGTTCCGAAAATGTTGAAAATTGGTGTTTGGTTTTGTTTACAAGAATAATATTGCATCTCTCGCTCCCACATGGAATCCATCATGTAGCTCATAATCTCATCGGCTGATTGTTGCGCGTGTATCTTCCAACGACGAACGGCTGTGCGGAAGACAAATCATGAATTAATGAAATCGTATGTGTAGCTTCCCGGATGCCCGCCGGCGCTCCGAGCACAGACTGCTGTATACTGCCGTGGACCTACCGCGGCAGAAAAATCGCGCAGAGAGCATCTGCGCGGATTCGATGGTTCTCACCTGTTCGCATTTTGACCAGGAGTTCCCGTAGGATTGTGCCGCTGATTACTTTTTGCGAAGGATTCACGGGGATGTGGTTCACGCAAAAGTTCTTCAAGAGACATAGCACGCAACCATCATCTGAAAATGAATATTCATGCTGACTTAGCGAGCCGCCTGAGGAATTCGCGATTGATACCATATCCTGCTGTATTCCTCGTCACAGACCAAATACTTACTCCGTCGACAAACGTTTTTATCATGAGCCTCGCTCCGGATATAGTTGTAGAAAGGCTTGCAGTTGGTCAAACACTGCAGCATGGAGTTGAAGTAACAGGTGTTTCCGACATTACTGAGACCCACCTGGGCTCTGCTGCCTGAATTCCGCAGAATCACCTACGGGAAATGTTTATCGTCATCGGGGAGATCTCCATAGAGCCCGGTCGTCCCAAGCATCGATTTCCCCAGAGCGCTCTGGATGAGGGATTGGCCATTGTTTTATAGACTCGCCTGGGGACCGTCATTCTCGTGGTCGCTGAAACGTTTCTGAGCTTTCTGTGGGACACTGAAGAAGCCGATGGAGATTTTCTCCCTTGAAATCAAATGGAAAAGTGCCGTTAGCGAACATCCTCGGGATCCCCTCTCCTCCAGAAACTTTCAATAGTGTTCGAATCACTTACGAGGAGCCATTTTTGCCGTTATTGAAGCAGTCAGCTGTACGCAGAGATTCCATCGTTTTCAACCACGGATCGCTCTGCGGTCCGCTCTTCTCGAAGACGATGTCTTCCGAAAGCAGGCCTTGAACTCTGCTAGCCGTTTCCAGCTGTGAACATCGAAGCATCGATAACTACGAGACTCGGAAACTACAGTCGGAACGGGTTTCGGACCCGAACCTTCGGGAGGATTAGGCGCAATGCAAAACATCTCGATTCGATTTCTTCCCAGGGGGATTATCAGGCTCTGTGCTCGAAAGCGTGGGCCTTCTGAAAGCTACTCACACTATCCGATAGAGACTTCTTCGATCCTGAAGGCAGCTTCTTCGACAGATAGGACGACACGAGGGTCTCCATGGCGGCGCTTAATCAAATTCCTCTAAGCTTCAACGCTCTGAAAATTGAACTCACGTTGAGAGAAGATCGTCCCGGCCTTAGAAATTACCCGACACGTCTTGGCCGGAGTTCGCTCATTCCTTGTGGTCGAATCAAGATGGAATAATCGAATTATATGAAAATGAGGAGCTCTATGTTCACACGCGGGGTCTGATGTCGGATATACCTTCCGACTCCATATCGACCGACGCTCACTGTAATCCATGATCGAGCATTCCACTGGTCGGCACCGGAGCGCTCGAAGGACTTCCGCGGATCACAAAACACTGCGGAACGGTTTTCATGGCGTGTGCGGTATACTTCTGTGCAAGAGCAGCGTGACCTTCGCTTGGTGGCCATTTAAAATTCAGCGCTTAAGGGAATACTGTATTTCACCGGGACTTCTTTATAAGCAATCAGAGGAACTCGGCGCTCATCGACCGGCGAGACGGAATCTCGACGAATTGCTTTGGGCTGTGATGGTCGAACGCATTCCATAGCTACCAGCTGCGCGCTCCACGAACGCGCGCACCGAAAAGAGCAACAAGTCCGACGATCCGGCACCCGAAAATCGGGCGTTCGCCGGATCGCTGTTGCTTGCGTACGAAAACGGAATCGGGCATGCTTACCGCCGGAAGGCATGCTTCTGCTGACGGAAGATTCACTTCCCAGGATCATTCAGTTCTGACCGGTGACTCTACGATCAAATATTGGAGCTCATAATCAATGGAGTGGTACCGAGATCCGGCCTTCGGAAGCAGTACCGCGCCAAGTTCTCTGTACGGAGGTTTATTTACCTCGATGACGGTATCGAACATGCGCGTGGCTCCGACGGCTTCGAACGCCATGCCCGAGTCGAATTATCTTGAGGCTTCTCGTAACAGAGCGAACAACAGCGGATCGATCGACGATCCAAAACTTAGTATCGATGCGGGGAAAGTGATTTAGATACTTTGTCCGTCGACAACACCAAAACGTCTCGAATCACACATGGGATTCTTGTAATATCCGTGACCGAAATCCCATGCTGTGATCATTTATTTATGACCAGCGCACATCTCAGGAGTTCTTCGAGCCAGGTGGAGAAGAACACACGTGAATGCCTCTCTGTCTCTTGTTAGACAACAGTTGGCCTTCGAAAGGGAAGAACCTTACCTCTGGAGCACACGCTTCACCTCTCGGCCATCGACAATGTTCTTTCTCAGCGGACAAATCACACCGCACGGTGGCCGCCGCCTCCGAGGATCCCGTGTGACGACACTTTGACACGGTCCGAACGCAGAGCGATGACGACGAGAAAAACCACGACTAACCGCCAAGTTCTCACTCCTCGCCGTGTGGGTATGAGTGCGTTCAACAACACCACCACCACCACCACCGCTGCTGCTGCTAGCACCTCCGCTAGAGGCGGCTGCTGCCGCTGCGGCTGGCAGGGAACATGCTGTTGAACGGATCCGGAACCCGGTCTCTGATCTTCTGAGCCAAAGTCCGAGTCCGACGACACGAAAGATGAAGATTGCGTACCATTCACCGCGAGTCAAGTCTTAGGGAAACCCTTACAAGGGGTGTTGAACACAAAATTCATTAGGAGCGGAATGTGTTGCTGTGAGAGGTATGGCATTGATCCCGATGATCTTTGCTGAAACTGCAAGCGCCGTGGGGCGGTCCATCGCATTTCTCCGTCAGGCTTTCTGATTACGTTGTTGAATATGTCTTGGGTCTGGAGCCATGGCCTACGACGGGGATCATAGCCCGGTGGGGCGCTTCCGAACTCGCTCTATGCTTCCGCTCGACGACGAATCATCGGGAATTTCTTGATTGCGAGGGATTGGATTCAGGGACGCCTAGGAGCATCCTTTGGAGTCAGAAGCAGTGCATTAGGCTCAGAACTTCGGACGTGCAATGACAGTGGCTCTTCACTCGATCGAAAACGAGAAGCGATCTGCGCGCTTATCTCATGTTGCTGGGTGGATGCTGCATAGAGCAGCGCTGCCGAATTGATGGCAAGGTCTCGAAGGACAGACCGATCTAAAATCTGTGCCCCGAGAGCGTGACACTTGGGCCCGAAGAAACATGGAAGCAACGCCGACCCGTGGACCCCGTACCGCTCCCCATGCATTTCGGATCGGAGTTTTGCTGATCTCGGACAGCTGAGCTCGATCGGAGGGTTCCGCCGGAGATCGCTTTCTTCCGGAATAATACTTCGAAGAATGCTCAAGCTTCGCTGTCGGATCTGACGGAATTGTTCCACTCGGAACTCCCCGAAATATCCGGAGATGCAGGAGATCTTCGGGAGCTTCGTCCCGAGCTTGTCGGATAGAAACCGCCTGATGTTAGGATTATGCAGGCGGGATCAAGAAGAGGGAGAAAGCAGAGAATGATGCTGGGAGAGTTTCTCTAGCTCGGAGGGGACGGACAGCCTCGGGTCTCGGTACAGGGGGCAACCTGCATCCCGGGATTGATTTCCGGGCCCCTGGATAAGAGATCCGCGAATGATGAAGGCCTGGTGAGAGGAGCATGCTTTCTGTGGATATGAAGGCGTCTGGGGCTGAAAGAGCCGTTTCCGAACCCATGGGCTCGAGGGCTCCTACCGGGCTCCTCAATGCATCAGGAGAATGGAAAGAAATGGCCTGGTTCTTACCCACGAAGAGCAAATATAAACGATAGCAACAGGAGACTCTGGAAAAACTCATGCGAGATGTCAGCCCGTCGCTGACTTCCAGCAAGAGGTGCTCACTCCTCATTCATGGGCGCACTCGGAGCGCGTCAGACCGCCCCTGTCCGAAACTTTCGCAATGCATTCATCCGACGCGCTCCAGAAACCGCGGTGTTGCTGCTGCTACCGCTCGTTCTTCGCTACTTGAGTTCCTCGAACACCGAGCTTCGAGAAAAGTGAGAGCTCATTCCCTTCGGTCGCTCTCCGGAAGACTTCCCTGCTCGTTCTCGCGTCCCGAGTGGGCCACTCTTGGGAGGAAGAGAATACAGCCCGTTGAAACTCAGAGGAGCTCGGAACTAGACGTTCACCGGCCTCGCGACTGATCGTTGTCAGCAACAGCAGAGCTGTCGAGCTCTTCCGTATCGGAAGTTGCTCCCTCGCTCGTGAACCTTACCCGAGTAGCTGACTCTTCTCGAACACACGAGAGCGAGTGTCCGAGCCCTGTCATCGTAGCTGCACCTCGACCCGCACTCCGGTATTCGAGATCAGCGGCGATCGACTGTCGCTCATCGAGCTCCGAGATTCGGAACTTTCCGCCGAAGTGTCTCAACCGATCTTCGAGGCAACCCGACCGGTGAGTAAGCTGCGAATGGAACCAAACTAAGTGAGAATGACGCGAAAAAGTGGGTGCTGTCCGTTGTCCGCAAAACCCAACAGTTGAGTAGTCGCCGGTGCGGCGACGTAGCGCTACGCTCCGGGTTCGTGTTTCTCGTTCGTTGGTGGGCAAGCGATCTGGATATGTGGACAGGGGGGCGTTGCAAGAGCTACGAAATTCGGAGAAGGTGAACATGCTTCCGGAGGTAGTCCGCGCTCCCGCCGGATCAGGATGAGCATGAGACGAGGCAGGGTATTGACGACGGGAGGCCGCTGCAGTTGGACGGATCCTGTTTATCGTGAGGATGGAAAATTCGATGCCGTTCGATGTGGAAAGTTCGATCCGAATCGACGTCGTCATCATGCTATGGAAACGCTGATGATTCTCGTTCTCTTCCAGAATGGCCGCAACGGCCGACTCTCAAGACTGCGCCGAGGTGGGAGACGACCTTATCGACGAGCAAGTTGTCGAGACCAGCCAGCTCGAAGATGAAGTCGTCATAGGAACCAAAGGTCAGTCCCGATGAGGAGTCTTCCCGGAACAGAAGTTTCTTCCGCGGGAGTTCACTCCCCACGAGAGATCCCATCTCCCGGAGGAGAATGCTCGATTCCGAGATGAACTGACAACTGGCACAATACTACCTCGCCGAAATCCGGCGACGCAACCAGACGAGCTTCAGGACCAGGACGAAGTCCATCAGACGAGGAGCTCATTCGTACGATCTGAGCAGCGAGATAATACGTGAGCTCTAACTCTTCTTTCCGTTGCTTTCCGCAGAAGCGGTGATCGACGAGTCTCCGCTGGATGAAGACGAAGATGAGGAAGTGCAGCCGGTGTTGATCCTTGTAAAAGACTCGAGTCGAGCAGAAACTCCGGAGGGAGATGCCGTCTCAGAAGACAACGAGGACTCGATGGATGTTTCTCAGGTGGGCCCCATTCTTTCGGTCTCCGCAGTCGAAGCAGCTCTGTATCCAATGAACGTGTCCATGGCTCATCCGGTCGCGTCTGGATTTCAGGTAGCGGATAATGTCCTGCCCGATAGGAGCAATTCGAGAGCTGAAAGCGCGAAGAAGAAAAGAGGTCGATCAAAGAAATCACGAGAGGCTTTAGACTCCGAGAAACCGAGGAAGAAGTCGAAAAAGTCCCTGGACGCCGCCGAGGTACGTGCGGCCCTCCATGAATCCGATCCGTTCGACGTATTGCCGGCTTTGTCATCGGCTTTGCGTTCCTCTCGTGCCGGTCAAGACCGAGAATTCGAGATTGGGCGGTGCTGAAGATTAACGGAAATTTCCGGGTTGCAGATCCGGAGATCCGCTCGAGAGAGGCATGTTAAAGTGTACAAAGACTTCCTCGACGACGACGATGATGAAAACGATGAGGGTGACGGACTCACCGTCGACCAACGCGCGAGTCTCGACCGCCGATTAAAGGCAATCGGCACGACGAAGACCTGGCGAAAGCAGATCAGAGGTAGATACGCTACGAGTCGGCATGGATATTCAAGTACACTACGTGGGGTCCTCCCAGCTCAGCCGACTTCCGGATTATTCTCTCAGTAGAGAAGAACGCCTCTGCCGCGATGATTTCTCGCGAAAATATTCCTGAGTCTGCGCCTCGTTGAGAGAGGTCTCCTGGACTCGCCCGAGCTAAGGGGCTGATAGCATGGTGGGGAATAATCTGAAATCCGATTCCGCCCCGTAGTTATCGTTGGTGAAACCGCTAAAGGGAGGAGAGATTACGTTCGGAGACTTCAGGCTGTGCCCGTGCTCGAAATTGATGTCGAGCCCTCGCGACCTTCTCAGGCGATCATCAAACGTTTCGTGCCGCTCCGAGAGCTGGGAACTGCTCCAGTTGAGGGCTGTAAATTCCTATTCCGGTGAGTGATGAAATCTCTCGGACTCTCTCTTGTCGATCGCTCCGTGTGAATTCCCGCGTCAGAAAACCTCAAATTCGTCCCCGCCAGAATCGCCGTTTTAAATCATGCTCCTTTAATTGACAAAATAGTCCTCGGAAAAGTTCCCCCCGCAGGCGGGACTCATCTGATTCCTTTCGTGTTGCTGCTCACGAATTCTCTCTTTCGACACCAGATGAAGCATCCGAATATTTTCTTCCAGTCCGCAGGACACCTTCGGGGTCGATATGGCTGACAAGGGTGGATGCGACGATTACACTTGCGATAAGTGCCAATTCACAACGAGCCGCATCAACAACATGATTCGTCACCAGACGAAAGACTGTGTCTTCAATAAGGATTTCTTCTCGTGGGAGGAAGATTCTCTGTTTGAGGTAAGTCTGCGGCGTCACGATTTCCGCATGCCGTGGGTGAGCTCAGTTCGCCCTCCCTAGATAGAAGCTCAAATTTCTTCATCAAGCTCTCACATTCGTAATCGAAATCGCTCGAATACATCGTGTTATTGTGGCGAATCGAGCCGACTGAGCGGAAGCCCGGGCACTCGTCGATTGAACAGCACCCACTAGGACGTTCGGCGAAGATTTGTTCGACCTACGAGGAGAGAGAAGGCTGTGGACTATTTTGTGGAGTTTCTTTATTCCGAAATATTATTCTGTTGCCACATCGTGTGCGCACCATTCTTCTAAAGAGAGCTATCTCCGGAAGTTGAATCAGCCCAATGCCGAACATGGATTCAGTATCGTCATCATTACTCCCGGAGACAACAATCGAATTTCACACCACCGAGGTCAGATCCCGTCGGTTGCTCCGATTTCTGACAGATAAATTCCGAATCCGCGTTTCGGCGCTACACTCTTGATTCAGCTAGACCTAGTATACACAATGAAATGAAACTTCCGTATCGGACGCCACGCTGTGTCCGTCCCATCGATTTTCACGGAGAGCGGCTTTCCATTATCTTTAGTGCTCCGTAATCAATTTCACCGATTAGAGTGAGGGCGGGATGCAGGTGTCGCATACTTCGGCGAACTGAGTCTGAACACTCTCCGCGTCAGAATTGAAACAGAAGCAATACGTAGACCGGTTCATATTCACACGAAAGACGAGAACCTATTCGACATTGAGGAGCCGCCGAACTTGTTCACAATGAGGCGTCTCGTCAGTGTATTGGTTTTACAATTCGGGGAGGTCAGGGCTTGCCGGGCTGGCGTCGAGAAGCTCCTCGTCAGACCGTGAAAGAACTTTCTGATTTACATCATGGACTACGAATAATATCCAGCACGGTTATTTCCTAATCGCAATACACAAGAGATGACTTCTGGAAATGACCGAAGCACTCCGCATTCGTCCTCATGTAAAACATTTTTTGGAGTCTGGACGTTCGGAAACCTTGTCGAGGACGGCGGCGTTTCCGGTTTATCGGCATTCGAACGGTCGTGAGTTCAGTATGCGAGAACGAAGACCGGGCTCCTAAAGAGCCATCGAGAGCCAGCCGAGGATCATCAACATGCCTCCGTACGGGGTCAGATGACGAACCCGATTGTCGTTCGTCAACGCGCGGTAGTAACAAGTTCCGCAGAAGACAAGCGTTCCGACAGAGAGCAGGGAACCAGTCTATAGATTGGAGAGACTTCGATTAGTTCTCGAGCCGCAGTCGCGCCGAGGGAGGACGCGTAACCTCCGACCGTATTTCTTAATATTCCGCCGGGACAAAATTCAAGTGAACTCACCACTACTGGCCTTCTGCATAGCGGTACTCCCAGGAGAGCGAGGCTATGAATGAAGTGATAGTTGTTGGTCCTGTCGTAGATTTCTTTACGCTGCTCCTCGATTTCTTCATTGCGATACACAACTGTCAGCATCACAAGCAGAAAAAAAATGTTATTGGGAGTCTCTATGCCGAGACGCCTCCATCCCTCCCAGCTTGACGACGTATCCCCACGACCAAGACAACGAATCCTAACGACCAAGACAACGGCAGAGAATCGCAGCGGATTTCTACTCACCGTGAGCACCGTATGCTCCCAGGGCAACGGCTAGCGCACCCGAGAGCCCCGCGATCCCGATGAAAGGGCTACCAGTTTTCGCGAGGCCTCGCATCGCTTTACTGATTGCGCGGTCGACTTCCGTCGTGATGGTCTCAGCTCCCGATGAGGAATTGCCTGTAACGGCGGGGAAACCACTCAATCCACGAGCTCCTTAGCAGTTTAGAAATCATGGACGAGGAAAAAGAGGCAGGTGGTTGACGCTCTGAGATGGCCGTCGTCGGCGGAACGTGGCCTGATTGATCTCGCTCTGACCGACCGACCGACTGAGAGAGCGGAGCTCCCGCTCGCGAACTCGGTCGGATCCACTTACCGGGAACGCCGCCCTTGAAGAAGCCGTAAACGCTCCGCGACACGACGTTCTCAGTCAGCGCGTCCTGCAGCTGAGAAAGGATCGACATGAAGGTTTCTCGAGCAGCGCAGAACACGTCTTGCTCTTCAGAGATTTCTGGAATCAACACCGTCCCGATTGACATGGAGGCCCGTTTCGGTGTCGGACGCGGATCACAGGGTCGTTAGTTTGGATCGAAAGCCGGAGTTTAAGGCACGGCAGACGGCGCTGACTGTTCCCGCTGAGAGAAGTTGATTCGCTCGAGTCGCAGCCGCGGTTCTCACTTACACACATATAGGGAGGTACTTCACCACCAACAGCAGCAGGCAACAACCACACACACACAGTCGTCGCATACAGCAGCTGATGATGACGAGTGATCCCTGGGGTCTTCTCTCTCAGCATGGGCACGACGACAGCGCCCGCGCCACTGGGAGGTCTTTAGCTGAGACGCTCGAAAGAAGCGCGAGGGTCCTTTTACAAAATCGATCTCAATCAATTTGCTCTTTGTGGTCGCTGGGAAAATGATTCAGCTCGTGCTGGCTGTTGCAATTGAATAATCCGGACGGTCTGCTCCGCTGATCTTCGAGGATTTCAAGGATCCGAGATCCGCTATCCGATTGAAGGAGCCGTCGACGCAGAGCTCGAACCGCTGGAAGCTTGAGCGAGAGTGCAGCGTGTGTGGGATCCAGGCCCTTCGTGCTCACTTGACCAGTTGCTGCTGCTCCGTCAGTCGGATTGGGTTTGACTCTGATTGCTCTGTGTGTTCGACTCCTCGGAATCAGTGCTTTGGTTCGACCGATCCGATTCGGCTCGCTTCGAAAATTCTCATCGAGCTGATACTGGAATCAGCTCGTACACTCCGACGTTCTGTCACATACGGAACGCCTTTGACGCGCGGGGACCGTGTCAGTCTCGACCAGGCCCCGGGTAGGGGCCCCGAGCTCGCGAACCTTCTGTGCTCAGAATTGAGGTGTCTACGAGTAGAGCTCAGCCCCTTGATCTTCCCGGAGTCTCCCGATGAGAGTTATTCAGAACATTCACGGGATGTCTGGTGCGCGAATCCTCCCCCGACACTGACAGGAAGTCGTTTCGTGTTCGTATCGTGTCGTAGGACTTGAGAGACCCCGAAGGCTGACGCGGGAATCGCTTTCCGCATCAGGCCGGTCCTCGGAACCAGTCGGGCGAGGATGTTTCCGATCCTTTTGCCCGGAAGTTCTTCCGCGAAACTCCTGTGAAATCCAGAGTGGAATCGAGTCCCACTCGATTTAGTCGTGATCTTTATCGAGTAGGCTTTTTCGGATTTCCCCAAAGCCGATGCGGCGCCCCATGCTTTTTGTGGCGGATAATTCCGCCGGAGTCGAATCGAATTCCCTCTGATCTCGAGTTACTCAATTCCCGGACATCCACAAGTGCTACCGAGTGAACAGCAGGGCTTCTCCTCCTTCCCCCCTTCAATCGCTCTTCTTCTCCCACACTCTCTTCTCGCTCCGCCGAGCCTTAATGGCCCTCCAACGGTTCTCCGAGTTCTCGGATTGTTCTCGCATCTCGTGAAGTTTCCCGGTTTTCGCCGAGCGCCAGGTTGAATGCCGTATTTTATCATGGCGGCGTGTGGATCTGCGTGCGCATCTAAAACCTGTTGCAGCAGCACCACGACCTCAATACGGCAGCAAGCCCTCTCTCAATGCGCTCCTGAGAACCGCTCCCGGGCTTCGGAAGCTAGAGGAGTCTCGCGCAAGTTCGCGAGACTTCTTCTTCCCTGGAAGTTCTAATTTTAGCAGCGGTAGTAGCAGCTGGACATCAGGAGATTCACTTTCGTGGCTGATTTCATTGAGTCGCTGTCCCGCTCCGACGCTCAGAGGAGCGCCGAGTTCCTGCCCGGGAGTCGAGGGCCGTCACTCGTCCATATTCCATGTACACACTTAGGTCCTTCCGTCCACATGTTCAACAGTCGTTGAAGTCGAATGAACTTGATTTTGCTCCGGGAGATCCGGGGGAGGACTCCGGTGCAGTCTCCGATTTCGTCCGTCGTCTGACGATCATCTCGGGTGCTCCTCCTCTGTCTCGGAATCGCTCCGATCGGAATCCTGATATTTACTTGGGATAATGCGGGGCTCTCCTCTCGATGCTGGGGAGGACTGAAAATCCGGGCCTCCATACTTGCGGTATTTCCCGATTGTCGAACTTTCCAACTTTGACGCTTCCTGTCCGGACCCCTCCAATTCTGACGGTATGACAAACCGTGTCTCACCATCACGGGAACTGCCGCAATCGGAGGGAGGTTGTAGGTATTGAATCGCATGGAACCCCGTGAGTCTCGCTCGGCAGCAAGAGAGCGGCTCGATGACGATTTATCTATTGCACAAGCCTACAGTAATGAGCGTGTGCGTGGCATAAATCGTAATTGAGCTGTTCCCGATCAACGAACCGAGCTCCAGACTCCGTGTCCTCGGCTACGATGAAGCTGCGAGAATAAGAGGCCACATTCTTGAATGGAACGCAATGTCCAGAAGATCTGCTTCGCACAAGCCCATGTCTTATTCTTGGCGAACCTCTGGTCGAGAAACGTGGGACGCTCGACCCCTACCCGAACCCTAATTGCCGATACTTTCACGCTTCACACACAGCACAGGCTCGATATGAGGTGCGTGTGCGTGTGACAAGCGTGAGTGTGAGGTGTTTTCTCAATCTGGGTAGAGAGTCCCGAGTAGCTCGAGCTGTATGAGGTCCAATTCAGATGTCGCGAGCGGTAAATGACAAGGTACCGAGTTGTGAGTCTCCAACGATCGACCATCTAGTTAGAGGCTTGCCTGCATGTAATGGTGATGTGTGAGCGGGGATTTATCGCGTTGACCTCTGCACAGTCCCAACCAACTCCCCGGTATTCGATCGCCTAGGCTATACGTCTTTCGAGAATGCGATACGCTTCGGTATGGCTCGCGGTTTCGATTGGACTTGCGTGCTCATCTCAAAATTGCCTCTGCTGCTTTTGAGTCATACATATTTAGAAACCGCCACTTCAGCTTCGCGTGCACCTTCACATAAGGCCGCTTTTCCTCCGAGAAAGGCTTTCGGTTTCTCTTCCGTATGTATCGGAGAAGGCACTCCCGCGGCTCGCCCGATTCCTGATTCCTTTCCCCTACACGTGCATGGTTCGAAGTATTTTAGTAATTTCCTCTGATTCGGATTCGCTTCCTCAGGCGACGAATTCGATTCTTTCTTGATTGAAATATGAGCTATCGCTCTTTGAGTGCTTCTGCTGCTGCTCTTTCGAACCAGGGAGGCTTGAGTTCTCTCACCCGATCCTCGACTTTCTGTCTCGATCTGTTCTTTTTTCTAACAAGCATGCTTCTACGATACGCTACCGCCCTAAGCATTGCACAAGCTTGAATTTCTAAATCGCGTGTGCGTGTCTTAAGGTGGAACTGTATCGCACATTTCAGCGACTAATCGAGCGCGGCGCGAATGCATGGCGATAAGCTGATCGGAAACTTCAGAATCCTCTACCTCTGATCCCTCGGGCTTCTCGGAGGTCCTCTGAGGTCTGCACCCCTCGAACTACCGGTGCCTTTCGATTCCCCGTCTCTTTGAATCCGAGAAAACACGGTGTTGCGTGAGTTGGAGAGCCTCTGCCACTATGATTGTCGTCCTGAACCTCCCCGTTGTGTCATATGGAACTTCCACATTATCGTCTTTTGCTCCAATACGGTGCAGCGATCGCTGAACCTTTATTATCCTTGAGTCCGCACACTCTTCCCGCTCCCTGCATCCGCAGGTCTCCCGTGAAATGCCCACCTTCAATGTTAAAATTTGATCGTAAAGCCCCGTTTTTAAGCTATGTATATTTATCGTTTGCTCCCCGGAGCATTCCTCTTTCTTATGACTCAGGCGATACACCACGCTTTAAGCATTGCACAGGCTTATCGTGATACTGCGTGTGCGTGCCTTAAGTGTCGCTGTGTCGCTTCATATCAACTAACACCGGGAGAAAAATCAATGAATAACCATATCTGTTCTGTATCCGGTGATTGTCGGACGTATGAGGCTGTCTCACGCCCCATGGCCGACGAACACACGCGAGAACTATTTCTGTGTATGACGCGGAGGAGGCTTTTTCAGCGTAGACTCTTACGCCGACGCTTTATGCATTGCACAAGCTTACCAATGGCATTGCGTGTGCGTGCTATACCAGGGGTGTAAATATGAAACGAGAAAATTTTTCAGAAAAGGAAAATTTTTTAAAAAAAAAGTACAACTCGTAATTTATTCGAAGTAGGCTCCCTGATTAGATATACACTTCGACCACCTTTCTGGCAGGTTGTGGATGCCCTTGTGATAAAAGGCTTCATTTTTCGAATCGAACCATCCGACCACCCATTTTTCGACTTCTTCAAAATCGGTGAACCGCTGATTATTCAAAGCGTGGCTCATTGATGCGAAGAGATAATAATCTGAGGGGGCCAAGTCTGGAGAATAGGCAGGGTGTGTCAGAACTTCCCAGTTCAAAGCGCTCAAAGTTTCCTGCGTCGGCTTCGAGGTGTGACACGGAGCGTTGTCGTGGAGCAAAATGACGCGATTCCGAACTTGGTCCCAATTTGGTCGTTTTTCTTTGACCGCACGGTTCAGATCGATTAACTGCTGTTGGTAACGGGCAGTATCAACAGTTTCACCGGGTTTTAGCAGCTCATGATAGATCACTCCTCTTTGACCCCACCACACACAGAGCATGGTCTTCTTTCCGAAGCGATTCCTTCTCACTGACTTCTCTGCTGGTTCTCCGGGACTGACCCACGATCTTTTGCGTCCAGGATTATCGTAGTATATCCATTTTTCATCACTAGTGATGATACGATACAGAAACGACTTGTTTTTGTATCTCGAGAGCAGTTCCCGACAGACTGTCAATCGCACCTCTTTCTGTCGTTCACTGAGTTCGTGTGGCACCCATCTGCCGAGCTTTGAGATCTTCCCCATTTTCTTGAGTCTTATGGAAATCGCTTCACGAGTAACTTTCAGCTGTTCTGCGAGTTCACTTTGAGTTCGCGTGTTGTTCTGATCGAGAAGAACTTGCAAATCTTGATCCTGGAACTTTTTTGGAGGTCTCCCCCGGGGTTCGTTCTTCAAATCGAAGTTTCCCTTCGAAAAGTTCTCATACCACGCGTAGCAACGAGATTTGCTAAGCGCATGATCACCGAACGCTTCCACAAGCAGAGAATGTGCCTCTGATGCACTCTTCTTCAAGTGAAAGCAGAAAACCAGCGAGGCCCTGAGAATCTGATTTTCGGGCTCGTAGAGGGACATTTTTGGCAGGGTGTCAAAAAATTTAGAAACACAATTTTCGAACTCTATCGACCATTTCGTGTGACCGCGAATGCGATGTAAACAACGCAATTGATCGGGCGCGAAAATTCAAACTGCAGCTTGAGCTAACGCCCTCTATCGGATTTTCTCGTTTCATAGTTACACCCCTGGTAAGTGTCACTGTGGGGTGTCACCTCGGCTGGTGATGCCTTTCCACGTGACAGCGCCTTCCCTTCCCGAATGTGTGTGGAAGCATGTCGTCTCAAGCCCGTAGCCAATTCTCTTCGTAGTACCTACCGATCCTGATTCGTAGCGGCAGGACTCGGGGGAGTCTCGACCGGAGTCTCGACTTCGAGTTGACAAAAATTGCTCGGAATTTCTTTCTGCGCTGGAAACCCGGCCACCGCCTGGCTCGTGAGAATCGTCGACCTCATTCCTTAGTCATACCCTTGATCCTTCAATAAAACATAAATCGTTTATACGTTGTACAAAAAGCCCTAGCCTTTATTTCCTAGGCTGCGCATAATTTATTGAGTAGTCTCTGACGACTGAATGAGGAAAGATCGGGACAGAACGTTAAGATGGAAGATACGGTCGTCCAGATAGGAGCGCAATTATTCACCGCCGTAGAGATCCTATGAATGAATGAGCTTCTCAGCGCGGAACGATTAGAAGCTCTCGGAATCCGGGCGCGGAAAATCGATAAGGTAGAATGGGTCTGTCAAGGAGCAGAAACGAAAGACAGACTACCACGGTCTGATTCCCTTGTTTCCAGGCTACTTCGAAAAAGAAGAAAACCGTGAAAGCCAAGACCGAGATTGCAATTGAGCTCGATGAGAAGTCTGAGCTCTCCAAAACAAAGGAAAAGTCCCCGCTACCTGGACCCTCCAGCGCCAGCGAAGCAACGGCAACGGTAAGATATGATTTTGTTCCCGGAATTCCTCGCAATAATTCGCTGCAGAAGTCTCTTCGACGATATCCGTTTGCTTTATTCACGGCATCCACGCTTTGCAGAAGACTCTCGAGCCCCAGCTCAGCTCCGAAGAGGAAGACGAGGAGGACGAGGCTCTCAGTGAGAGACTCGGCATCAAACGCAATGACATCGTCTGGGTGAAGCAGGGTCAGAATGTATTCTGGCCCGGACTGGTCCTGAAGGTGAGTTCTCCTCTTGCAGTCTGGACGCTGTTGAGGAGCCAATGAGCTGAATTTGAGGGAGAAAACCTTAGGAGCTCATTTCTTGGCATACAGCATGTCCGCAATCGCCGCTTCTAATCTCTATTTCGATACGTGCAGATATTGAACCGGGGTCTGCGAGGCAAAGCGAGGACCAATACCATTCAAATGCGAGTTTTCCTCATACACAACGGCGTGAGTATTCTTTGAGCCCTGTTGCGACCTCTGGAGGCAATGGCCACCGAGAGGACGCATATCCCTCTCGAACGCGGGGGTAGAGGGCAGAAATGAGCCTACTCCGGGGTCGTGGAAGTATCTTGCGGCAAATATCCCTTCTAAAGCGGAGTCACATTACTCCACAGTCAAAGCTCACCGTACAATCCACTAAAGTGGAGAGTTTCGATTCGCCGAATCGCAAAGAGTTCCTCGAGACCGGCCAGAAACAAAAGGCCGCGTTGGCTACCGAGCACGCCCGAGCTGCTCAGAAAGCTGACAAGTTCCTACGCGAGAGAGTCTTGGGTGTCAATATCGACCCAGTGCGTTTCTTCTGTCTCGGGGAAACGAAGGTCATCCAGGAACACGAGAGCTCTTCATCCGAGGACGACGAACCACCGGAAGAGCAAGTCGGAATTCCTCAGTGGGAATTACCCTCAATTGAAGATCTCTCGGCGGCCGAAAAGAAATCGTGAGTAATTTTCGAGGCCCGCCGCGGCAGCCCATCCTGGCGTTCACGATCCTCCTCTTCACAATGAGTTTTTGCCGATTGCAGGAGTGCCGCGCGACAAGCCTGGATAAAGAATTCGAAGGATTCTCGTAGAGCTTCCAACCAAGCGTTGGTAGAGTTCATCACCGGAGGCAAAGTTGGAGCCCATCTTGTAGGCCTCTACCGAGGAACCGTCCCGTCTCGGAGGCACGACCATTACACGAGTGAGGACAATGATCTCCGTCAAAAACTCAAACGTAGCTCCTGGTGGGGTCCGATCGATGATCAGCTGCAACAGGTGGGTTCCGACTGAGGGACATTCTGGGCAAGCCCTCTCACTCAGGCTCATTGCTCAGGATTCAAGGAGGACATGAAGTAGGTTCTTCGGCTCGAATAGAATCCTCAACGTCAAATTGAGGAGCCAGCCGCGAGACAAAAATTAAGTCGCCGTATCGTTTCTCTCCCGAAATTCAGGAAGCCATTTTCGAGTACTGCCACGATGTGATCGAACGTTCTAAGGAGGTTGGAGTAGTCAAAGGGTTGGACACGATCAAATACGCTTTCGAGGTTTTCTGTCCTGAGGCCATTACCAAGGCGATCTGCAAGCTTGCCATGGTCGATATGGAGACGGCTGCAGAAATCTTCGAAAAAGGTGGGTCTAAGCAAAATTCCTCGCTCTAGCGATGCAGGATCCCGTTGAATTACCTCTGAGATCCCCCCGAGACATGCATCCACCAGAAAAAAATGCAAGCATTCCTTACAGGTGCCCAAATCGTGAGGGCATGCGAAGCTCTCGAACAGCCTGAAGCCGAGGCTGTCGAACCCGTCGAAGAGGAGAGTCTTGAGCGAGAAAAAGCCATTGTTGAAACTGAGGAGGAAGTTCCGGGACGAGAGACACCGGCCGCCGAGGAAGCTGTCGTCGATGAAGTCCTCGAAGGAACGGTCGAAGCCGAAGAGACCGTGAAAGCGGAGACCGAGGAGAAGATGACCGCTGAGCCTGAGCCAGATGTTGTCCCAGCAGAAGCCGAGGAGGGACCATCAGAGAACCTCGATACAGGCGAAGTTGTTCGAGAAGAGCTAGAGAGACTGGGTGTGGACAGTGATTTGCTCAAGGAGATCGAACAGACATAATCAACGCGCTTCCCCCTGACCGGAAGCACACGGAGCGATCGAGCGGAGTAATGTTGTTGTAGATTTATACGTTGTGTGACATCCCAAAGTCGTGAACGAGGCATTCGCTCTGTCCTCGACCGATTCGAATGAGCAACTATAAGATCGGCTGAACTCGGAATCTGTTTTGCGAAGTCGACTGTAAATTGATGATGGGGAGTTAAATATGTAATCCAGCGCACAGGGAGATCTCTCGAGACAACGGTGATCATGAAAAAATATCGCTGATCCGGGAGGTCATCCGAGACCCTGAAGGCAAGGCATCTCGAGGATATTCGAAAGCTATAGAGGAGCATTATGTCGGCGCGGTTGTTGAGTGTGACCGGATTCAACCGACGGAATCATACTCCATCCACTCGGATATGAGAAAGGTTTCCTTTTCTCGGACTGTGGGGGCTTCCAAAGTGACGGCCCGTCGACAATAGGAGGAGGGAGCTATTTGCGCGAGAAAAAATCGTCGCATTCAGATAAGCAGGCAAGGCATACGTTAAACCGGCCGAGCGGACGCGAAATTTCTCTGAAATGTCTTTATCCCATGTATTCGAGGTCTGGGAGAGATACCGGCAGGAGCGAAGTGCAGACAGCACTAATGTCTTCAGAACGGCGGACTTATGATATGACTTATTAATGATTCTGGAAACCTTTATACCCATTTATCTTCGGACACTGCTAGAAGGGTCCTGTCGCGTCTATTATTATTGGAAATCCACATGTGTATCGAGAGGACTATTTTTGGTTCAATCTCTCCGACGAGTGGCATCAAGTAAACTACATACATATATTGTGCAAAGCCATCCTAAAATGCAAGCAAAATGTTTTCCCGAACGAGATGCAGAGTGTTGTCAGAGAATAAAAATATAGAATTCTCCAGACTGCTGTGATCTGTTCATCTCACACCCCACTCGTCCCCACTCCCACGATCAACAGGTAGAGTAGCAAGTCTGGTTGTTTCTCCCGGGATTTTTTTGGTGCAGTTTGGAACGCATATCAACCAAGAGCGTAACCATCCCAAGAACCATAAAGCGCTTCTCGGAGTTGAACCAGTGAATCTCAACTCCAAGCGTACATTCAAGTGATGAATGGATTACAGTTCTCATTTATGAGCTCATTTAGCATATGGAAGGAATCGGACGGCGGTCCGCAATCGATCTAATCATTTCGTGTCTGCTCGAAGGGGTGCCTCGTTCTCCGAACTCTCATAATGACTTCTGAAAACAGCGGGGATTTCGATGAGGGTCAGGAAAATCCAGGAGCCGGGGACGAAATTCATTTTCGCAACACGGTTTACCACGGAGGGTCTTGAACCCATGGAAGCGCCCCCTGAAAGATCCTGGAAGTATTCATACTTGCAGCAATACACATGCGAGCCGCGACACAGTACCCTCGATCGCGACCATGTGAACGCGATCGCCCGCTCGCGAGTCCCATTATGAGCATGAGGAGTCCGTCTGATCGAGCTGTTTTGTTTGATGAAGGCTGGGGTCTTTCCGGCTCCCAACGGACAGCTTAATGAGCGCAGGGTCCGCTCAAGCGCCCGCCTCATCAGGAGCTCGATCCAAGAGTCATGAGGATCGTGCCGTAGCATAAATGCGTACCATGTGCATTTCGGCACGCAGCAAAGTCGAGATCTCGACGGCAGGGTCTTTCGATCTTTCGCAGTAACTTTGCGCTTGAGTTTCTAAATTACGAATTTCCGTCCAAAAGAGACTTCCCCGGTCACGAGGCTCAAATCATATTCGAGTTGCGAGTAAGCCGGGAACGAGATGGGAGTGCGAATTCGACTGCTACTACATGCATTCGGCTCGGACCAGATCAAACCCCACCCCGAAAGCGTTTTCTTTTGAACTCTTGCCGACAAACTCGAATCTGAGATTTGCACCAGGACACTTCCCGCTGACCCGATCGAGGGGATCCCTCTATCAAATGAAAGGGCCCACAGCTACAAGGAGAGTATGCCTCGCCTACTACACTCTACAGGATAAACAGATGGATGGATAGACGAACGGGCGGATTCATCGACCTACTGGCCGACCGCCGATGGACCAGGAGCTGAACACTCTTGCGAGGTCTGTCTAGACAACAGAGCGAGAGCCACACCCGTCAAACAGTTTTTGCGAATTATTCTCAAGGAGAGAGAAGTGTGCTGTCTGGCCGCGAAAAAAACTTCATCCACAGACCTGGCGACTCGCTCTGGCTCTGCACTCGGGTAGCGAGCGGTGGTGGGCATTGCTCCGATGTGTGGATCCGGCATCCGTTAGCTCTACAGCCGTTTTCTTAGCGAGGACATATCTCGCCGTCGACACGATACGAGTTTACATCCGGCTCATTGATAGCCACATGAGTGGCAGCACATTGAAACCACATGACGTAGTCAGGGCAACCCGAGACTCCGAACGGAGACATTAAATGATTAATCTGTGCTGCATGTGGGGGTTCACCGTCCTTACTTCACTTCCATGCAATCCGGCGACTGCGCCAGAAGGGTACCGAGACTGGTTCTGGGGGACGCCCTGATCACTGATGTGTCCATATGCGTGCGGGGGGGACCGATGCTTAACCTTATGCCGGAAATTATCCTCCCCGGCAGTCGATACCGGTCTTGCGACATCGTTGCCTCGTCTCTGTGAATCCTTGAGGACATCTTGCTCGAGCTCCAGCTGCTGAAGCTACCTGCCCCCAGCAAAGAGGTTCTCGTCGCGGGCGCATCGTGCGATATCCGTCGCTTCTCTTTCGACAGAGGGTGACCAAGCAGGCCTGGTTGACGCGCACCGTTCCATTATTGATCGACTTCGAATCCGATTCTCTCGGAAATCCCTTTCATCGCTGGTAGAGCCGTATTTCGCCCAGAGATTCGAAAAGTGGAACAGGTGAGACCAATATGATGGCTTTACAAGGATACCCGTCGATGCGAGCGACAGCGGACCAGGAATAGGTCCGGAACGGATCACCCCTAAAACGCGGGGGGAGTGCACTCAATGAAGTGATGACGATCAGAGGCCTACGAGTCTTCGGGCTTTGCGCGCTGCAAGAATTGGTTCTCCCAGACGACTTCTGTGTTTGAAGCAGACGACTTTGTTTACGATACCGCGCTCGGATCTCTATTCGCTCGATTGTCTGAATATTCAAACTTCAATCGGGATCGAGGTGGAGCAGCGATGAGAAACGGAACCCGGACGAACGGGTTGAGATCGTTTGAAACCCCTCCGCATAGTAGAGATCGTCAATGGAAAAACAGAATCGCACTCGAATCTCAGTACTGTCTGCTCATGGTATAGAAATTGACCGACTCATTTCTCATGAAGGAATGGAAGGATATCTGAGGGCTCCGAAGGTCGGGAAAGGTCTCGCACGGCGAATGTTCTTCACGGAAGCTTATCGCAAGCACAGCGACACAATGCCCGTATCTCCTGACAAGCGAGTCCCGGGCCTAGTCTCTCGGCTCTGTAAATGGAATGAATAGTTTGCCTTCGATTTCGCGATCCTGAGATGGAAGCTCGAAGAATTTCCCTAATTTATCAAGAAAGCCGACTCCGGCATGCTGAGTTACAGATCCTCCTAACGAGAATCTGGTCTAGGATCTCGAGCGGGGAGACTTCACCGAATGATTCCGACGAGCTCCGAGAAGGCGCTCTCTGCGAATTCGAGCATCTGTTGTCAGGATCAACGAATGCTCCAGAACGATTCTCTTCCCCACCAGGACCCTCGTTGGGATCAGGATGACTCGGTCGGAATGCCGAGTCTCTCACGACTCGTCGACCCTTTTCCCACCGATTGTCGATCGAACCGCGCAAAATAGATGCTCTCGCTAGAATTCAATCTTATCAATCACCAATTGAGTAGATCGTCTGAAGGAGAATCCCGAGAAGAAATCGTCATATACTTCGGAAGATTCGAGCCGTTGAGAGGAAACTTGAGAGCCGACGGAATCGCTATATCTATCTAAGTAAGATCTTCCCAGTCTTGAACTTCGTTCCGTGATCGATCGCCGCACGATGCGGTCACCACGGCTGGTGGATGGTGGATGGCGGACGCCGGTTGAGTTTCGGTGGATCGTAGAGAAGCGCGTCGAGCACGAGCCCTTTCCTACTCGAGCGTCGCGCGGAAAGTGGTGCTGATGGCGATCGCGGTGGTGGTGATGTCGGTGGATGGTGGTGGTGATGGTGCTTTCTATATCAACTGGAGACAATACACCGCATTCGACACAGTCCCCCTCAACTAACGTCGGTGGTGGCGCACTTCTACGAGCTGTATCTCAAAAACGGCGGTGCGATCATAAACGCGCTCTCGAACGGTTCGCAAACTCGCCGGTGTATGTCGATCCCGCCATTACTACATACGGGGTGATCCACGTTGGATCGCACGCACAAAACGGGCATTACGTGCGTTTTGTTCTATTTTGAAAGCTGTCTGTTACCCGAGAGGAGGTGAGCGGGTTCGCGCGCGCTTGTTCGCTCGTTGCTCCGACAGCGGCGATTGATTCTGTGGACGCCGAGCGGGAACGGTCTAGCGTGTGCTTTCAAGTTTTGTGCCGAGAAACGGAGTATGACGAGTTCGAGTGACATCTTCAGACCATCGACCGATCTGAGGTTCTGTTTCCCGCATTAAAGGTGCTTTCTTCCAACCTCGCCGACGAGCGGAACCAACAGAGGAAAACTCGTTCAATCGCTCGCTCGCTCGATCGATCGAACGAACGGGTGATTACGGGAATCGCGCTCTTTTCCATCGAAACCGTTGGAACGGACATTTCTTCGCCGGAAGTTCGCTCGCCTCTGGAGCGTTGTTTGACACAGAGGAAAGGTAAGATATGCGAGCGCTTGAAGGTGCATGAAAACGAAAGCGTGAGACCCACCTCCACTTGTCACCCGGCTTACGGGGACGGGAGTTCACGTCTTTCTGGCTATCCTGCCATGGAGCCAGCCTGACGATCCGGCGAGCCGTTCCGTCAAGCCGAGCGTGTTCGAATATTCTTTCGAGTATTCCTCGGTTCGGATACTTTTCCCTGTCTGAATCGCGGGATTCTGCCGGAGACCGATTCGGGAAGCGACTCTCTGTCTCTCGGTGGCTCACAAATTATTCCTATCTGGTTATATCTATGGGATCATCGGCCGGTACCAGACGCACGAGCAGCGTTTCGAGGCCGACAAATCATGAAATCGGACTCCGCGTTAAGCTTTGACCAGAGATTAGATATCGAGAAGCTGTAGTCAGTTTCTCTTCACCGGGCGTTTATCTTCACCTCCATGAGTAGACCACACGGAGCGGCTGCTCGGAAACCCCGTTTGCGAAATCGCAGAAGAGCTCTTGGTTGAAATGAGCTTTATCCCGGCGGACTCGGGCTGCTCAATTTCTCCCGGGCACACTCCATCCCGCAACCGATTGGGAGCCGAAAGGTGTAGGCTCAGAGACAAGAGGATGACGGCCGGTATGTTGCTGGCGCTGCTCACAAGGCAAGAGCAACAAGCTTCGTGGATATCCTCCCGGGGAAACATCACGCTCTATGGGATTAACATTCAAGAGCTGTTCTTGAAAACTTTCTCTAAATAAACAATCAGCTGAGCGTCTTAATCTCGCTCGGTTGCGCATGTGAATCTTTCGCGATCGCGTTTCTCGAAGTTTCTGAGGAGTCACGGACGATCGGTGTGCAATCACTCTCGAAATCGAGGAAGTCTCTCAATTCCTGATCGATTCTCGGGTTCTCTCTCGGGAGCTCTGAAGAGAAGCTGGAGCCAAAATCCGACTCGTTTGACCGCCACTCGAAACCGGAGAATCTCATATGACTCGTACGTCCCGTTCCATGCAGTGCTCTCGTGATTTCTCATTCGCCGGTTCGGGTTTTCCGCCGATCTCCTCGAGGATCAGATGGGAGGAACCAGTTTATTCTTTACAGAAGAGCGCTGGGACCAACGCTCATGACAAGCACATCTGGATCTGCCATCGCCGAGACAAAAAGCTCTTTATACTCGAGAGATCCACCGAATTCGAGTCCGACCGAGGGAGATCCCTCCCAATGACCGGTAACTTCACCTGATCCCCCTCAAACGACCACAAGAAGAAGACCTCACCATCGAATCAGTGCGGCTCGATGCCCCTGGCGAAGAGTCGTGCCTTCTCTCTCTTCTCGAGAATTTCTCGAGTTCGCGACGCCTATCTGCCGTTGCTGTTGCTGTAGGCCATCAACTCCTATAGGTCGCATAGCTGCCCATCTCGGACCGGAGAAATCCATGATGGATATTACGGCTCCAGCGCGTGATGTTGTGTCGTCTTCTGCGGTCTGACGCATTTTCGATTTACTCGACTGACGCATGCCTCGGGAAGGAATCGGTAGATCGACCGACCGACCGAATCTGTCAGCCAACGGACAGCAAGTTCGACCACGCTCGTTCTCTGACTCATGTTTTCCTTCATCACGCGTCTCGAAACGATGATGCTACAAGATGTGAAATCTGATAGCGAGCGAGATAATGATAATAATAATAATAACAGTCCTGAAATAACAGACCTCATCGATATAGCAATCCGCGGAACGTTTTAGAACGGGACAAACTCTGCAATACTCGTCCTCGGCCGCATCGGACGGAGTCTATTCGCCATACCGAAGGTTCAGTCCTGTTTGGTTTTCGAAAGATTCGTTCGGTCCGCTCCCCGATAGCCGGAACGGAAGGCGCTTCGATCCGAAGTTCTTCAAGAGACGAGCACCGGACGGGCTCAGAAATTCCCCGAGCGTTTTCGTATGCTGTCGCGCTTTGTGGCGAACATTCGCCCCGACGAACTCCACAAGTTCCCCGGCGCGCATTTAAGCGAATCCCGAGTCACATAGGCCGCTCGTTTGTTCGGGTGCTCGGCGGTTCGTTTGGCGCCCCGCCTGCCCCGATACGCTCGCTAACGATAAAATGAAGAGGGCGTCCAACACCGGGCATGAACTTGTTCGTGGAGCTCGGAACCATCGCTTCACAAAGGGAGATTTCATGCATCCAACGCCTCCAACGCCTATTTCTACCCACGGATGCAGCCTGATGATGAGCTCGATCCGTGAGTCTTGGAAGCGCTTCGAGATTCCCAAGGCAGACAAGCTGTGTTTACAGCGTGTTGTCAGGGACCTCCGATCTACGGGCCCGTGACTCAGCTCCTCGAAGAGCGAACATTCGGTACGCGTTGAACATAAATTCAACAGGTGGGTTCGCCCAGGCTGGAGCCAGAATGTTCGATGCGCGGAAGGTTCCGAGCATGAATGAGTCGAGCCCTCCATGGCGCGAAGTCCGATCGAAGCCTTCTCTCGCCTTGAAGGCTTTGATCCGATGATTTCGGTCCGATCGCTCGTTTCCTCCGGCAGGGAAGCCGCTGATGGTCCCTGAACGATGATGGTCCCCCGCGGACGAGACCACATGTTGATGTGGTCTCGTCCGCGGACCAACGATTTCCACTTGACCGTTGGAGATGTCGATCTCTCAGTGAAGCGATGAGTGGAGTTCAAGCTGGTTAGCGAAATCCGCCCGCTTGGGAGTTGAGACCGATTTCTACACGCTCCTGCTCCATCGCAAACCCTTCCCTTTGGTCTGGATGAGGCCGCCGGGCATCCGAGCGTTCTCGACTCCGGATAGTCCAGCTTCATCGGGTCGATTCGCGGACATTGTTAGAGCGCTCGGAAATGTTCCTTTAGTACTTAACGGCGAACGGTATAGGCGATGAGATTGTTGTATGATGAAGAGGTGCGGTCGATCCACAGAGGCGGATCGTTACAGTTCGGAATTTATTGACCGGGTACTTTTTTCAGGAGGTGAGGCTGCACGATGACAGACGCACACGACGGCCAAAGTACCCTGGACATGAATGAAATTCGTCAGCGAATGCTCGCTCTCCAGAAATCGGCTTCGAACTTGGCTCAACTGGACCTGGGTGACCTGGCATCTCTCCTGCCGCCCGGCACCTCTAGAGAACGCCTGATCGAGATCAAAACGAAACTCGTCCAATTGCACAATCTTCAGAACAGGTCAGTCGAGACCACAGAATTCTGAGAAGCACAGAAATTCATTTCTTTCACGAGCGTAGGCCTCGGGCTCAAATGATCGGGATTGCTCAAGATAAGGCTAACTCAGTCTTCATCTCCATGCAGACGCAACAACATGTCCGACAATGCTGACGACAATCTGAATACTACGGCCGACGGCGTTAGCAATCGAAGTTCTCGCTACAAAACCGAGCTGTGCCGACCTTTCGAAGAGAACGGAATGTGCAAGTACGGAGCTCGATGTCAGTTTGCGCACGGAGCCGCCGAACTGAGAACCTTGGCCCGCCATCCGAAGTACAAGAGCCAACTCTGTCGAACTTTCCACTCGAACGGACTCTGTCCGTACGGCCACCGATGCCATTTTATCCACAACCAGGATGAGATCCGCCCTGTTGTTCCGCTGTCTCCGACGATGCATACGAACCAGAGTTTCAATGATGCCAGCAACATCCGTGGAAACGAGTCTCATTACCCCGAATACCCTTACAACGACTGGGGACGTCAGGCAACGTTCCCTCATCTTTCCAACGAAACCTTCCAAAAAGCTTTCTCGAACCCCTCGATAAAGTCTTCGATGCCCAGATTCGGACCTGTTAACGCGAATGACCTCTCGATGATCCCGAACGCGAATTCTTCACTGAGAAATTTAAATACGCTGTCGACAGGATTGAGCCTCGGATCGGCCGGGGAACTGTCGCCGCCGGTCAGTCCGATAGTTTTCGGGGCTGATGACCCGTTCACTTCTCAGACATCATTTCGCCCCGGATATGTCAACGCGAATCTCCTGAGCGAAATACCGGAGTTGAATTTCAACCAAATGATGGCTCTCTCGAAACTAAGTGCTCCAGCGACTGCGTTCGCAAGCCCGACTCCGGCTCATTCCAACTCCTTCTCAAGCTTGACGCCCTCTCCCGAACACTCTAAAACGAGCTCCTCGCAAAATCTCCTCTCCCCCTTCTGGTGGAAGACAGATTAGACGGGCTTCCTTTCAATTTCAACGTACAATTGTGAGAGAAATAGTATTGCTAGAGTCAATAGGACGTAGAATAGTCAGAATAGTGCACGAGATCCAACGATGCTCGGAGCTGTGTGAAAACGTAGCGCGAGCATCCCTGGTATTGTCGGCAAGTTCCTGAAATGATCTCTTTTGGTGTCTCTATGTAGTATTTTCGTAAGTGATGACAATGTTGGTAATATTGATATGTCGGTTATATCTCATATCCCTGGTATGGATATGTTGTGAGTAGGTTGTTGATATTCGATGGTCATGACCGCGATAGCGATTGACAGACACCGACGTTTTAATCCACTAGTTGACAGGACACCGTGGAGAAAGCGGATCCATTGTTATAATATTTGCCATCGCCCGCCATCCGGGGTCGTTGACTCATAATATATTCCGCTAAGGGGTACTTTGCTCTCGTCATGCCGCCCTCTAAGCTATCGCCTCCATCTACTCGCCCGATCGTTTCCGCTCAGAGCAGAACTCACTCCAGAATCTCATGCAACAATGCGGAAAGGGTCGCAGTGTGGCACTCGCTCGAAACGCAATAACTTCCGTAAATTATTAATTTATTCAAGACTATAATTATCGGAATCGAAAGCTCTCGCGGGATTGCTGTCGGAAATTCTCGTTTGAGTGTCATGTCATGAGAGCGAGGTGTAGTGAGGAATCGAGTAAGAGAACAGAGGAGGCCTCTTGTGAGATTCCGTCCCGTATCTGCGACACGGATTCTATGAGCTACTCACTACGAGCTGAAATGTCCGGGCCAACAACCATAGGAGCAGTGTTTTCAATCCCATACAACTTTACGAGATGATAGCGACGCCCATATCATGTGAAATGCTGGAACCACATTACATTCTGTATCGGACACTTGTGTGTCGACGATGTGACATGTGCCAATATTCAGCGAAAAAGCCTACATATTTATAGGGAGGAGAGCATTCGGGGGTAGGGCTTCGGAGTGATTCGGTGAAAGTCAGTTGTGTCCTAGCATGAAGCGAGCCGTCGAAATTCAAAGTTCTGAAATAATTACCCCCTTCCGGCTGCCAATTAGTTTTGAATCCGCTCTGAATGGTGGAAGTGCAAATAACGACGAGGATCTGAGCCCTGGCTCTGGTCGATCAGATCATTCAAAGACTTTAGGTACATTCTAGCCATGTGGAGGTCGGAGATGGATGTTGTGGAACCTATGTGAAAGAGAATCAGCTTCAATGCAGTCTGTGCGGCTCGAGATCCTCCCTTCACCTGATATTGTTCCTGATACTTTTATCTGTGACGTACTTTTTATTTTCGTATTTTATCCATGAATAATTCCGAGTATGGCGACTCACTCCTGCCGCTGCCGCTCATCGCAGGAGTCGCGGTCGTCAGCTTTCTCAGGTATGGCCTAGTTCGGAAACACGAGCTACCGCCTTTTTAGAAATCAAAAGTATTCTTTCTATTTATTGTAAAGAATGTGAACTCTATAATAGAAGAAAGTAAAAAAGTACGGCATAATGACGCCAAAGAGATCATGCGTCTTCTGCAGGCTAGATTTCCAGGTTCCAAGACCCCGTCAGTGAGCCTTAGCGTTTCGCATCCGACGCTTCAGCCATCAGCTCGAACACACAGTCCACCCTTGAGAGCTCGGACGAGGCGTTTCAACCCTACAGGAGGGAGTCGACGGCCCCTTGAATCGAGATTGCTCATTAGGACTCAGGAGAGTACCGGCATCCAGATCGGACGGCAGTACAGAAGCAAGCCGGTCCGCACGCATTTACCGGGTCCAAAAAGAATTCCCTGGAGAGAACATCAAGGGTTCGGTGATCCTTCAGATCGTATCGAGGCCCTAGTCAATCTTGTGAGGACATATCTCCGAATCTCTCGAGAAATCGTATTCACCCAACAGCTGTAGCCCGGTGGTAGCGAGACGGCTCTACGTTTGATCGGTGGGCCGTTGCAAACGGCAACGCAGGCGACTTTGTAAGCGATTCCGGCGCTCCCGCAAGGCTCTGAGAGAGGATCAGTGGTCAAAAGATTCGGCCTGGGGCTACCTGTTTTAGTCCGATCCGGGACGCGTAAGACTCACCAGGAGGAGGCGCTTCGGTGCTTTGCTCTGTTGAGCTCGTCGAGGCGTACGTGGACGCACTGGGTGCTCTCTCCTCAGGAGCTGCAAGCGTCAATCATATCTCAAAGTCGGCACTCCGATCCAAGGGAGAATCAGGACTGCGCAGAATTTTGACGAGCTCCGAAGATTGCCGCCAATGAGTTAGAGAAGCTGTAGGACTCACACCCGTCATCCTGAGCGACGGAGATGCTGGACAGCAGCAGTACAGCGAAGATCGAGATGAGTGACATCGTCCTCATGCTGATCGAACAGGCAATGATTGAAATATTGTCACTCCCTTCCTGACTCCTTCCTTACTTTTATAGATGGCAAGGGAGACTTGTGCTCATCTCGCTAGTGCCAATCAAAAATCAGGTGATCGAGGTCGCCAAACAGACGGCAGTCACATTGGGGACCCGCTGTAAAGTTCACGACATCTGAAGGTCGCTCCTATGGGTTTCCGACTCCGGCTCAGGAGCCTCACGGCATTGCGCTAGCGTGAAGTACAAGTGCTTATTGTTCTCCGGTGGAATCCGTCATTCATCGGATCCTGTGGTCGTTTCTATTGGGTAGAAGGCTTGAAGTGAGCTTTTCGAATGACAGCTCGTTGAAATTAAGTTCGGCATCGCATCGTTCAAGCGATACGGATGTGATTCGTTCGCACAAGTGAAAGCGCTATAATCAGAAAGTGTTTGACGCGGAGAACATTCTAATCCTTGCTAGATCCCATCTACGAACGGGGTCTCCGACGAGTCCTCTCACTCGGCGCGTGAGAAGCGGCGGGCAGCCGGCCGGCGGATTCGAGTGCCGCTCGGGGCGGTGTTCGATAGTTCTCGTACTTCCAAATGCAATTCATCGAAACGCTGTCCGCTGACGGGGATTTCACCGGATAATGTTCGAATAGCGTTTTTTCGACTATCAAGGTTGAAATCGCCGCCTCGTAAGGGTGGGGCTCGTCCTCATAGACCCTACCCACTGAAAAAGCCTCTCATGTAAGCGTATCCGCTCGCCACATGTCTTTACGGGTTTCCATCTGTGCGGCAGTTCCGTGTGCTGGGAGATTTTCCCCGCTGAGATTCCGTGGGAGCGAGAACGTGAATCGTCGGAGGGGTTCTCTCCCCGGTGGAGGCTCTGGAGTTTTACCGGAGGAGCCTAGAATCGAAGTTTCTTCAGGCGAGCTTCTCCGCTTGAAGGAATTCGCGCTCTCGAGGAAGGTTGAAGCGAGAATCTATCTATCATACGGTAAGGCGTTCTTTCCTCGGCTGTCTGAGCTTTTTCCACGAATCGCTCCTCCGAGTGAAGGATTCAGCTGTTCCGAGAGGATTCTTGCTATCCGCCGGTCCCTCGGTTTAGGAGTCCACATGAATCCCGGAGCTCGAAAATAAGTTCCCGAAAAAAAAATCCCCGGAGCAAATGCGGAGCGTGTCCGTCTGGACTGACGAGTCTATCACAGAGATTGATGTCATATCGCTATCGCGATTCTTCCGAACACCAATAAGATGGCCGCCGGTGTACATATTAAATAGATTTATTTCATCGTCCCACGTCTTACAGGTCGGCGAGCTCTCAGCGCAATGCCACGATTCGGAACAATTGAGAAAACCATTGGAATGAAGAGGAAACGACTCGGATGTCGGGGAGTCAGGGGAGAAATATATGTTCCTTGACTGCATCGACCAACATGGAGACTTGCTTTCGTACGGTAGATCCCATTATTACCCATCTGACTCTCCTCTGTGCGCACAGACTCTTCTGCACCGATACTTATTTATGCAACAAATTTCCATTCGCTCTCCCTTTCTCTCGAACTTTGGGTCGCTTGCTTGGTCTCGGTGTTGACTCGTATGAATTGTGAAGCTAATCACTCTTTCTTATGTTTCGAAGCCGGCTCTTTATGGTGGATGAAAACAAAGCTAAAAACAAATAATCCGAGCATCATCGAAAACGCCGACCAGTAGTAGGGCTTGGCCGCAGGGATGAAACGTTCGTACATCGTGTGTTGGAGCGGATGCACGGAGACCTGACTAGCGACGACCAAGTTGTCGTATCCGCGACGTCGATGGTCGACCTTGAAGCGGTAAACTCCGTACACGTCGGGAACCTTGAAGGTCACTCCGTATGTCCCATCGTTGGCCTCGCGCTTCATCTCGGTGCGGACGAAAGGATCGATCCGAACGAATTCGAGCTGGATCGACGGGGCGTCGTACGGGATCCACTTCCCGGCGTTATCCAACATCTCGACCTTCATCGAGAAGCTCGCATTGTCCATGACGGTGTAAGGACCGCCGTGTTTCACGTCCGAGTATCTCAGAACGCCGGTCTCCTTGAAAACCCAACGCGCCAGAGACTCGACGAGATCCTTATTCCCGCTCTTGACAGCCATCAGGTCACCGTTGGTTTTAACGACGGCATCGAGATATTCATTGCTGAACATGGACAATGAACCGGAAAAGAGAACCCTGGCGTTGTTGCGAGCCTGTAGGGATGCGACGAGAGCACCTTTCTCCCCAGCAACCAAGGGTGTCGATGTGACCGCCTTCGATGCGGGTGCACTGTAAGCAGTGGCAGAGCTCCGGATCACGGTGGTCACAAGCGGATTCTTCCGGTCGGTTATCAAACCGATGCCGCTGAAGAGCATGGGTTCGAGTTTCTTGGTGCCGATCATCGCAGGAACATCGATGACTTGAGAACTGTCGAAAGCAATTACGGTGTGATCTCCCTTGTCAAGGTAGACATCGTAGTTGTGATGGTCAAACATTTGGTTCCCCTCGGAGTCGACTTCGAATCCGCATTCCGCGGCCAGTTCCTTCATGACATTTCCTACGCGCGAATTCACGGCTGCCAACACGTTCCCGCCGTTGTCGATGAACTCCGTGAGCGCCTGGACATTGATGGTCCCACCGAATTCTGGAATCAGGAACGCAATTCTGTGTTTATAGAAATGCCCAATGGCGGGTTAGATTACTTCTCGAACAAAACTCGACGGAGACTCGACCAGGTGCCTGAGCTTCCCCGGATAAATTGCTCGCTCCGAACATACCTTCTGTTGTTGGTGTGAAGAGTATCAAATGTTTGTAGAGGAACTCGCCGTATTTCTTCAGCGTGAGAGTCGAGTCATCTGCCTGTTTGAATGTCAACTTGTAGCCTCGCTCTGGAAGGAACAGTGCCGGTGAAACCCCTTCGGATGTCGAATAATCGATAACCAGATCGATCGACGCGAAACTATTCCCAGGAGCCGTCAGGAGAGAACTTAGCGACTCCGACTCCAGCGGGTCAGCTCGAAAAAATCTCTCCTCCTACATACTGGACAGCTCTCGAATCTGATGACGTGCGCTTGCGGCGCGTCTTCTCCACGCCGGAGTCAGCCATCTCAAGCTCAATGATCGACTGGACCAGCGAAAATGGACCCGAGCTGATACCAGGCGAGGCCCACATATATCGATGCCTGACGGTTCAGTACTTTCACTCACCTTCCAGAAAGTTGAAGAACTGCGAGTGCGTGTCTCTGAACGACAGGCTATCCACCAGAACCAGAGTCTCGCCCGGCACAGCAGACGCAAGAGCGAATAAGCTCAATGAGATCGCGAGTAGCAACTTCATAACGCTCTCTAGAATCGTCTCTCAGATTTAAACACCCAGCCGATGGCGACGATTTCTTCTAAAAACTTCCGTCGCCAACAACAAAGGAACGCCGGCTGTGGCAAAAGTCTGTGTCGTGTTGGCCGCGGAGCAAGATGGCGGATGGTACGATTCCGAGGCCGAGTCGGCATGCAATTCGGCCCGTACGCTTGAATGCAGTGTATGGTGTACTTCTGTACGCTTGTACGTATCTTAAGTCTATGGCGAAAGCGTACAAGATGAACGGGGGGTAAAACTGCACAGAAATGGAATCTGTCTATGGGAGAGGGTAGACAATGATGCCGATGATCTTCGTAGGAATTCCGAGCGGAATCGGGCGGAACCACAGAGCACCGTATCGGGGGACTCGGGACCACGGAAGATTACACTGGAGTTACAGAGCATCACACCTGGATCATCGAGGACCACATCAGGTCACGGAGGACGGAACCGGGTTCACGGAGGACCACACCGGTACCATGGAGGACAACACCAGGACCTTGATGGACAACCCCGGGACCGCAGAGGACAACACTCTCTGAAGCTCGGGCGGCGGGGGAGGGGGGGTGCTAAATTTTACAGCTCGTCGATTTCCGCTTTTTGACTATTCAGCCAGTACACATAGGGAGATAACGAAGTTCACTCGACCTTAAGATTTTGGATCGAGGAATTATACCAAATATCTCTCCAGATTTCTTGAAGCGTCTCCTTTATCCGGGTGGGCATCGAGTCTGGATAGGACTAAATGCGTAACAAATGCTCAATGGCTTGATTTCATCGACATAAAACAAACGGTTCTCGAAACAGGGTGGGTCGCCGGTCGCCGTCTACGGCGAATATAGTACAAAATCCTTTCTCGAGCCAGTTCTCATCGGAAGTCAATGCGGAGACATATGTTTCAGGGAAATACTCATCGATGACGAATGGGTCAATCTCGTAAAAAGCCTATATTTCCTGTGAGACTTCGTTAAAGGATATTACGGCATTTTCCATTCATCATCGGAATATTTTGTCAAGCGAGTATAATATCCGGGATCGGGTCGGGAACCCATGATACTATGCGGAGATTTCAATGTTTACATGAGATGAGAGAAGGCAAAGGTATCTCCATTATTTCTAGAATCTGGATAAGGATTCGAACTCGAAACAGTTCAAACGATCTTCACAACAAGAAATTAAACATGCTCGAATTTGATCCCCACCCGCCCAAGTTTGGAAACCGTCGCCAACATCACCTACTCCGGTTACCATAAACCTATCTTCAATATTCTATGGTCTTCATGAACAATGATCACGGCTGAAACTTGCTGTCAGGCCACATCGGGAACCAAGAAACCGGATATGAAACACCGTTCTGAGCTTTTAGGTATTTCAGACGGCTTGCTCATATGTGATAATGGTCATCGAGTCATTTAATAATAATAATAAATCATCGAGTCATTTCAGATAGAGATGATTCTGTCCGTCATCCCGAAATAGTGAGAGAGCTTTGTGTTCGATCCAAAGCTATTTGAGGAATTTGAGTTCGATCACGATACGATCAGACCTTCGGAAAACCTTCGTGGGGGACTCTGGAGGAATGAGAGGACGAAATCATGATTTATTGTCAAAAGGGGGTCAGTATGAGGAGTTAAAGAATTGGAACTCCCATCGATGAACCCAATGAATGAATCATGTAATTCGAATGATTGTTCATCATTCGATATCAAAATATTGATGACATTCATTACAAATTACAATAAACGAGAAATGTGAACAACAATGCAAACACAGAATGAACTAAATATTTTCATCTGTCGTGGTCAAAATGTGGTGTAGATGGACTTTGGACGAGTCCGGTGTAAGACGGATGTTCAGATGTGCGAGGTGTACAGTGTGCGAGAAGCAGTCGGAGAGGACGGTCGCACAGCGACGAGAGGTCGGCTGTGGCGGTTATTGAGAGTGTGAAATAAACTAGAGGTATCACAAGTTGGTTCGATATTACCGAGGTCTTCACTTGCCGTATCCCAGAAAGACAGCCCCGATATTTGCAGCGATGGGATTTGCGGCGAAGATCTTGGGAAGCAGAGCTAACGAAGCTAATGTCGTATCAGGGTTCGGACGGAACCAAACGAGAAGTTGGTGCGATGGATGCGAGAATGCTTGGAGAAGTTGTGGCCCAAGTGATGCAAGCGATTAAAAGGGAAGATGCGACGGAAATTAGGTCGGTGGAGTCATACCCGGACACGGCCGGATCCGTGCCTCTGTTCATTGGGGGCAGTGCGCTAGAGTCTAAGCAATGGCTGACCAAACTTGAGCGAGCGCGACGGATGGGCAAGTGGTCTTTCGATCGGTTCATGGCGGTGGTTTCAACGAAAATGAGAAGAGGTGCGGCAACCTGGCTGGGAATCTCGGGGGAGTCGTGTGAAGCTTTTGATGGATGGCGGAGCGAATTTTTGAAAGCGTTCGTGCCGGCTAGATTGAGGAGTCAGCTCATGGAGCAATATGTTGCGAGTCGGCAAAATCGCGGAGAATCCATGATGGAATTCGCGAGACGGGTGGAAGCGTTAGGAATCGAGATAAATACGGACACGGAGGATATGAAGTACGTTATCATCCGATGGTTGAGCCCAATGAATAGGCGGTTCGGGGAGATGGTGGTTAATTCGTATCACAAGAAAACCACGGATCTCATCCATGACCTGGAGGAAGTCGAGGGTGGGCTCGGTAGGAACCTGCAGCGCACGAGTTCTTTTCAAAATGACGAAGGGCGGTATGTGGCACGGCAAATAACGTGTTATCGCTGCGGACATGAGGGGCATCGGACGATCGACTGTACGGAGCGGTATAGCCCAGGCGAGACGTCTTGGCGACGCACAATCCCAGTCTCGACGCCGGTTGAGTGAGGATAGAGGAGACAGAATTTCAAAATCTGGATCATATAGGGAGGGAGATACGCGGAGCAGCGAGGTGACTAATCAAAGGGGGAGAATGGCGAAGCCTTACGTGGCGGAACCTGCGGCGGCTAGAACGATGGCGAACGTCGGCGCGGTAATTGATCGACAGAGTGCACGTAACGCGTCGACAAGTCGCTATAGGTGCGGTCAGCCAGGCCCCTTTTCGCGCAAGTGCACTACGGTAGTAGCCGTGGGTGCGGACCATAGCGAAAATGAGGAGATGCTCGAAAGAAACGAAATGTATCATTGTCGGGCATTGAAAAACGTGCTGATCAATGGTCAGCCGTGGACGGCAAAGGTGTATACTGAGGCGGGAGTTAGCATAATATCGGAGAAGGCAGCGGAGATGTTGAGTCTCGAACTGTTGCCGGTACGGAAACATCACTAGCATGAGTAGAGACGCCTGCAAACCAGTAGGTAGGGCGGTAGTGCAGCTGGGAGTTGACGGTCTTCGCATTGAAAATTTCTCTTTGCAGGTATTACCCCGCGGTACATGGAGGCGGAACGAGGTACTTCTGGGAAAGGATTTGATCAACGAGGGTTTTGTATCAATCTTTTATGGCGGTTCCTCGTGGTTCGTTCAAGACATCGTTCGCAAGAATCGCGAAGGAATTACCTCCGGGAGATCCGAAGGTGGAGTTCATTTTTAGAACGGAGGGAAATATCGCATGCCACAGTGCTGTTTTATCCGTACTCACGTCTTCATCCTTTAGTTTTACAATGATTATAAGCTTGGAGTACAGTAGCAATGAGCTTGGTAAGCTTTCAGAAACTTGAAATCAGGTCGGTCGGGAATTCTCGGAACCCTAAGCGTCTCCCCTAGATTTCTCCCGCGTCTCCCCCAGGAGACGCGTCCCCCTAGTTTGAGAAACGCTGGTCTAGGATAAGGCGGTAAGGGTTCCGGTGATAAATAACAAGAACGAAACGGTCAATTCAGGGCCAGGTACGGTCATTGCGCGCGGGCAAAGGGTCTCAGATAAGCGTGACGAGTATTATGATATCACTCGCGAGGGCCTAGTTGGGAGTAGTACAGCGGACTACAAGAAGCGAAGTCTCAAGTTTGAGGAAGCGGGAGAAGCTTCAATAGAGGAGGAGTTGCCTACCGCGACACTAGTATGTACGGCGGTACGGACCTATGATGAAATGATGATGATACAGGCCGATGATGTCGATATACAGGATAAGATAAAAATGATGCAAAAACCGGCGGAGGATAGGACGGTACGAGAGAAGACGATGACCAGAGACTAAAAGCTGAGAGGTGGAGTGTTGTTTCATGCCGAGAAAGGATGCTTCTTAAATATATTTTTAGAACTTGTCATGCAGCTGCTTAGACGTGGAATCGTCTCGAGAATCCAACGCACTGAGTTCCAAGGCGTTCACAGCAATATTCCCGGAGCTAGACCGGTTCTCATGGGTTCCATAGAAAAAATTCGCCTATTGTCACGGCATCGGCAGAAAAAATGTTCGAATTTTGCTTTTTGAATATATTTTTAGAAACTGTTTTGCAGCTACTTAGATGTGAAATTGTCTCAGAAATCCAACGCACTAAGTTCCGAGGCGATCCGAGCAATATTTTCCGAGCTAGACCGGTTCTCGTGGGGTCCATTGAGCTTTGTGGTACCGGCGAAAATGCGAAAGCACGTGCTGGTAATGGCACATGACAAGGCGGGACACTTCGGAATTGAGAAAACAATCGAAATAATGAGGCGGTTTTACTGGTTTCCAAAGATGAGACAGTACGTGGTTCATCATATCCAATCGTGTATGGAGTGTCTGTTCAATAAAGCGGCGGTTGGAAGACAGGAGGGAATGCTGAATCCAATTCGGCCGGAACGACGACCATTCGAGCGGGTCCATATCGATCATTTAGGACCTCTTCCGAAAACGAAAGGGAAAGAACATATCAGTGTTGGTGGACGGCCTAACAAAGTGCGTATTGCTGGAGGCGGTAAAAACAAGAAACGCGGCGGCTGTAATTGATTCCCTGACACGGACATTCAGAACATGGGGAACATGGAACACCGATGTGGCTAGTGTCGGATCGTGGGACGGCGTTCACGGCGAAATCAACGGAGGAATTTCTGAGCGCGATGGGGGTTCGGCATATTTTGATCTCGACTCAGAGACCACAATCAAATGGTCAGGTGGAGCGGTTGAATAAGGAAGTAGCGAGACTACTACGAACATCAGGCGAGAGTCCGGATAAGTCAGATTGGGCGGAACATATTCAGGGGGCACAGATGCACATGAAAAGAGCACCAGCGAGGGGGCAGCCTTTCGAGACATTACATGGTTATCTTCCGAGGTTATACAATTTTTCGGGGTTGGTTTTACAA